TTAATACGAACGTCGAGACAGTCCTACTGTACGGAGTTGAAACTTTAAGAACTACCACAACCACCATCAAAAGTGTACAAGTGTTTATAAACAATTGTTTGCCTAAGACACTTAATGTTCGTCGGCTGATTATCATCAGAAATAGCCTACTGTGAGAGAGAACGAATCAGCTTCCAAATGAAGAGGAAATGGGGAAAGTATTTTGGAGGTAGTACATACATTGAGGAAATCATCAAACTGCATCACGATGCAATCGCTAACTTGGAATCCTGATTAGAAACGGAAAAGAGGAATAACAAAAAATGCATTGCACCAAGTATTGGAAACAGACATGAACAGGATGAACAGCAACTGAGAACAGCTGAAAAGCATTGCCCAGAACAGAGTTGAATGGAGAATGCAGATGGATGGCCTGCGCTCCTCCATTAGGAGTAACAGTCATAATAAAGCAAGTTTTTAGTATCTGTTTTTAAACTTTTATTGAAAGTTTTCATATTCTTGTTTCGTAATATGATGGATGTTTTTTGTTGGTTAAGAAGTCTTGGTTCCGATCTGGAGAAACTTGAAACTCAGGACCTTCTTTACATTATCTGTGTCATAATCACTTTAAGTCCAATGAACTAACAGATGCAACTATTTAATTTGTGATACAAAATATTTATTTACGGTTGATTTAATAACTTACTAGTGGTTCAAGAGCTTGGACATCTTGTTCAAATGCAGATAACAAAGAAAGTTGTTTACAAATGGCTTGTACATCTTTACCAATTGATTGAGATAATTGATCGGATTTTTCTTGAACAAGTTTCAAAGTTTCCTGTGATTAGTAGAGAATGTACCAATGGGTGAAAGACGATTACTTTCAAGTTGACAATTACAATACAATGTAGTTACTTAAAACCTGAATAGCCGAACTAATATTTTCTGTCATTTTCTGAGTCATAGAATAAAATTAGAAGAGTGGATTACTTAATCAGATTTCGCTTGAGTCCTATACTAGGACAAAACGGTCGTTCAGTGCTTCAAGGTTTTCCATGGTAATCTAGCTTCAATTGACTGATGAATTCATTTAGTAAATCACTCTAAAAGTCTTAGAAATGTATTCTTTGTTATTAATCAAACATTATTCATCAAGAGTTAGTATGCAACATGATGTTTACTGAATCACCAGCAAACCATACCATCAACCTCATAGAAATGACTCATAACACGCAGAGGAAACAATTTCCATAATATCAAAAAGAAATCTTATAATCAAATTTTAAAAAAATTTAGGAAGAAGAATTTACGATATATCTGCTGATAACTTATGAAAACTTAACAGTGAAATAATCTCCTGTAAGTAATACCCACTGGTAACCTTTATGCAGTTCCTGCCACTTTAAAATAATCCAACGTGATCAGCAAAGATAGTGACGATTTTTACAAGACAAAAATTCATTTAAATGCCATTCTTAACATGATGGAAACTTTTGGATAATAATATCGATACATGATCTATTGTTTCATCACTAACTCTGTTTCCCATATTTTTTCAAAGTTCGTATGACACGTTTACGTGTATTAAGAAAGTGTATCAGTGCAAAATGAATGAGAACAAAAACTTACAGAGCAACGAGTTACAAAAATAAATCGATGAGCAGCTGAAATTAATAATTTAACTCGTGAACAAATTAATTCACGTAAATCAGCCCATGTTTCTGAAATAATATCTTGCCAAAATGCAATACGTGGAGAATCTGAATGTTTTGTACGTATTAAACAACGACACATGTTCATGACTCTTGCAGTGCGTTCGGAAGCTAAACCAGATGTGTTTACAAATTGATCAGTTATGTTCATGGTATATACTGTTGATATAGGATCAAATGAACGTAGTTCAACTTCTACAAACGATGTAAAAGATTCACCTAGAAGATTTTCACCAAAATGCACGAATCGATTGATAATACGTACACATTCGTTCAAAGTTCGACCGGTGTATGTTGAAGAAGCTATAACGATTTGTTGATTTAACCAACTCTGAAGTAAAGAAATGAGATGAAATTTGTAGAACATGTAGATACTTGTGAGAAAATATATTAGCAAATTCAACTACTAAGCGTGAAATTGAATATTCGAACACTTTTATGAACACAAACATGTTGACAAAATGAACGTTTTGATGCAGATATCACTATATGTTCTAAGAGAACAAAATGTTTTAGCTTCACTTGGTATTGTTTGGCTTGTATCTTCCCATTGAGGTTTAAGACTGCAATTGATCAGTCTGTTATTGGCATGTGCGTATACTGTTCGTATTGCTTTGATATTGCCTCAATTTACAAGCATTATAAGCAAAGATGAATAGTGGCTAGTAGAGGAATCCAGGACGCGTATTTTCCCCTATTTGGGACATCCATCTGACAAGTCCCAAATAAGACGAAACACGCTTCCCAGATTCCACTGCTACCCACTATCCAACATTGCTTACAAAAAAATGTTTTAACTATAAAAGATAATCTACTATGAAAAATTGTACAAAACACTTTATATCCAAACCTTGAAAATGACTTTCTCAAATGAGCCGATTAAAATACATTCAATAATTACGTTATTAATTGTAGACATATATACCATATAAACACGTAAACGCATTTATGATGATACATATATGAATGCTGATTACATGTAAATTAATACTGATTGTTAAGGGTTAAAAATAGAACTATTCACCTTTCATATAGGCTAATTTGAGAGCTCAATTATTTTGAACTGGTATAAGCTTGTAAGTAAGTCTTCTACAACAATGAAACTAACGGATATGTTTATCATATTAAAAAAGTCAAATAAGAGATTTGTGGTTATCTTTCATTCAGTAAAGGTTCATCTAATAAAAACGAATTAAATAATGTTTGAAATCTTGATCAGTAAAACGTTAGGTACAATAAACTACTTAGAATCCAAATCAGTAGGTCTCTCGAACAAATTGTTTAAACTTGAGTATCGTCGGCTAACTAAAATGATCTGTTGTATGTTAGTAACTGAATTCGGACATAATGTCGTTCAAAATTTTATTTGATGTATTGATCATCGTGGATCGGGTAATTTATTTATTTATTTGAACGCATAAATATTGGTACAAGAGTGCGCCAAATATATATGCGCCACACAAAACAATGAGAATTTATAGGGAAGGAAAAAAAGGTAAGGAGCGTGAGAAGAAAAGAGAACAATAACAACAGAGAGTCATCTAACGTCCTCAACTCGGAGAGGCCGGGTTTCATAAGCATAGAGCGAAACCGCTCTCACCAACGCGTTGTAGATCCGACCTTTTACAGCCAGACTAACATCACAAAGGCTCCAAAGATGGCCCAGATTGGCATAAGCCGCTCTGGCTTTCACTATAAGTACATTGGTCTCATCACTCACACCCCCACCAGCACTTATGCAGCTACCCAGATACATGAACTTCTCGAATACTTCTATCTGCTCACCATCCAGGGTGAGTACAGGATTAGGATCCTGCCAGTCTTGTAGAAGTACTTTGCACTTCGAAGGTGCAAAGCACATACCATACCTACGGACATTGATTGCCAACTGATTAAGGGCGGATTGCATGAATCGGGCATTATCGCACAATAAATAAATCAAGCTTATATCTTTTTATTTGACTTTTGTCAATATTTCAAAGTGAAATTACTTTCAATTTTATCGAAGACTAAATTTTATTTTTAAAACTTTTGATTCCTTGTAGAAACATAATTTTATTTACTACGTCATCTCAATTTTTGAACTTCACGTGGTGAAGTAGGGAACAAACCTTTCTTACATTTGAAAGCTTGGTTGTGCAATAACGTTTTATTAAACTTTGAAATGTATCAAGTGACTAGGGTTTTTCGATTTCTGGCTAAAGTATGAATGGTGAGTAGGCAGATTTTTGTGAAATCTGATCATTTTGAAGTAATTATGAAGAACTGCACGTAGTATGTCAGACACCATTCAACTTGTTTTGAATTATGATAGTTATTTTTAATCTATACACGGTTCTGCCTATGAGATATCAATTTTATGTTAAAATGTATTGTTTAATCGTGTATGTTTACCTTAAATGTTTGTTTTGTTTAGATATCATTTTTCATTCTATTTTTAATCAATGTAAACTGTTTCTATCCACTTGTTGGGAACATAAACGTCATCTTCACTAAAGATCCATCTTTCCATATTCATCACAGTTGAGCAATATGATTTCGAATAATATGATTCATTATTGTACATCAATCATTTGGAGTTCCTATAGTTTTAGCTGTTTATTTCATTAATAATGATTACTTTGGTATATATATACCCTTTTTCATAATCAGTCAGGATCATTTATAAAGTCAATAAGTTTTTGAAACAATGTAATCTAGTTGCAGATTTGTATTGGTTGTCGATAATCTAATTCTAATAATCCTAATGATAATAATATTGGTTAAGTAAAACATAGTACAACACAGAAATACAAAGAAGTTCATCTTAAGCATCACTATTTGGTGTATTATCAATATATTTAAATATAGTTCAATCATGATTCATGTATTAAAGTTAGTATAACAAGAATGACTACACATAATAAAGATAACTCAGCTTCAGTTTGGATATATTTTGTATGAGATCTCCCTATCTCCTAATAGTTTTCAATAGTAGTTAAGTGTATGACTAATTTATTTCAAAGAATTTCAGATATTTAGATACTTACTTATTTACTTTCAAAAATTCAATAGATTATGTAATGTAAATCATTTCAAGACGAAATAAATTTGGAATTATTTTTTTGATTGAGATCATGAATCAATTGATGTTAGACTACCGTTGGAAGCATGGAAGCACTGGACGGTAGTTTTATCCTAGTACAGGACTCCTCAACATTGTGCATCCACGATCCCGCTCCCCGCGATATTAGAACCCATGACCTATCAGTCTCGCGCCAGGCGCTTAACCAACTAGACCACTGAGCCGGTATCCAATGGTGTTAATGTCTAACATCAACCAATCAACGAAATTGCGCGACCAACTTCCATTGTACTGAGGTAGATACCAGTCTCTACCGGACACGGATTAGCTCCACTGGAATTATTCGACAGATTGTAGAAAAAACTTAGATACGTCAATTTGTATATCGAAGGTTTCTGATAACTTCAATTAAAGATTCTTATTGGTGTATGTAATAAAAAATACTGGTCATGAATTACTTTAAAGTTCCTTAAAATTCATAATGGCAGTAAATTGTATTTTCTGGATGATTCACTAAATGAGAATTTTAAATTTAAACATAAGTTTATTTCGAAAACAAAATTCTTATGCACAACTCAAAATGCTCGATGTAGGAAACATATATTACTAAAGTAACTGAACTTACTTTCAATTCTGAAACTTCTTCATAAACAATGCTCAAGGATAGAATTTCTTCTAAACGTTGACGTTTCTGTACGCAAACATCCAATAAACTTGCATATTGACGGTCCATAATTCGTTGAATAGACTGTATAACTTGAATACGTTTACGTATTTGTTTGATTTGACTACGAAGTTTACGACGATTTATCAAATTCTCAAATGAACTTTGTTTTACTTTATTCATATTTTCATCATGCAGAATAGACTGTGACAACTGACTTTGAGCAGTTCGCTTCTCAACTTGCATTCCAGACAATCGCTCAACAACTTTCTCTAGATTTTCATTTGTTTTAATTAAATCCAGTTGGTTTTTGTATTTTTCTTTACGTTCCAAAAACTCATTTATTAGTTTTAATGATTTCTGATCTTTTATTCCAAAATAAAACGCAAGCAATCAGAAAATATTATACTGTTATTATTATTATTATTATTATTATTATTATTTGAACATATAAATATTGGTACAAAGAGGCACCAAATAGATATGTGCCACACCATATTTGTGTGTGTGGGCTGTGATAGTGCCCGGGTGCCCAGACCGAAGCAGTTGGTTTTCTTAGGGGGCCGCACCCCAAGCTTTTGACTTAAAGGTCTGATCCACAAGTCAGTGGAGCATCGTAAGGAGATGCAGTCCCATGGTAGCCGGTGACCAACGGTTAGTTCATACGCCATTTGTTCCCACAGGATACTGGAGCCCATGTGCATCATTGATTTGGGATCCGGTTAAGGCGCCGGATATTCGCTTTTCTTCCTCCCGTTTTCGTGAACAACACTCGAGCCACGAAAAGGCAGTAAGTAGGACTTCCCTGGCAGAGGCTGTATACACGTGGCCGTGTGAGACTATTTCGAGAAAGAGGGAGGGCTCAACCCACTCTCGGCCATACCAAGACATTCGGGGGCTATCAGAAAATATCATACACCACAACATGAAGTAAATATACGTCCTGTTTAGTTGTCATTCTAACACATATTGAAAAATAAAACAATGAAGACTTGATGGAATCTTTATTTTCAATGACTACAACATTAGTGTCTATATTATTCAATCTTTAAATAGTTTATTACAATATCCAATACATCAGAGTATGTATCAATTCATCAACAATGCAGTACTCATTGCTAAATAACAAAAAACAAGAACCCAATATCTTATCACCTCATTTGAGCATGCGTTGATAAGTTTGATGAACTTCAAAAACGTTTCTATTTGCTTTATTAAATTCTTATTTGAAATGAATTGAAAAGCTTGAAATACTAATTTTCTGATGGAAGTTGATAGTTTCAAATCAGACACACCAACAGTATGTATGATCTTTAATTCACTGATGTGTAACAGGATGTATCTCTTTTTTTCAAAAACGTTTCTTTTAATAGTAAATTGATGTCGTAAGAATAGCTATCTTGTATCATTCACTTGGTATTGTTTTACTTGAATCTTCCCACTGATGTTTTTGGACTGAAACTGATCAGTCTCTTATTGGCATATGTGCATACTGTGCGTATTGCTTCGATATTACCTTAATTTACAAGCATTATAATCAAAGATGGATAGTGGCTAGCAGTGCATGCAGGTACATCCAGCTGACGAGTTCTAAACAGGACGAAACGCGCGTCCTGGATTCCACTGCTAGCCACTATCCATCTTTGCTTATATCTTGTATCATGTTAGATATAAAGACTTTAAAAAATGTTAAATTTTGTATTTGTCTGAAACATGTTTCACCTAAAACTACTTATTTTATTGTTCATAAGTGTTAAATTGAAATTTCACTATGGATTACAAAAGAAATCAGATACTAATTTGAGGTTTATTACAATTTTTTATGACGAACATAGGGAACTCAAAACAACTGTCTGTCAACCAATATAAAAGTCACAATCTTCAATACGAATGTCGAGACAGTCCTGCCGTACGAAGCTGAAACTTAGAGAACTACATCAATCATCATCATGAAAAAGGTACAACTATTTATAAAGAATTGTCTAAGTAAGTTACTCAATGTGCTTTGATCAGATACCATCAACAACAGCCTACTGTAGAAGAGAACGAACCAACTTGTAGGTGAAGAGGAAATTAGGAAAACTCTCTGGAATTGGATAGAACACATATTGAGGAAATCATGAAACTACATCACGAGACAATCGCTAAGTTGGAATTGTGAAGAGATATGGAAAAGAGGAAGGCTAAAGACCACATAACGTTGGGAAATGGAAGCAGATATGAAAAGGATGGGTAGCAACCGGATACAAATGGAACGGGTTGACCAGAACAGGTTTGGATGGAGAGTGCTGGTTGTCGGCCTATACTTCTCCACCAGGAGTAACAGGCGTAAGGAAATAATGATGTATTTCTGTATTCAGTTCTGAAACTAGAACTTATCATAAAAATTGATGAAGAACTTCTTTAAGTTTAAAATACGATTTTATACACATCACACAAAATAGACAAATAAACCGAGTAGATAAATACAGAACAACCGTAAACACACAAAAAACACATCTCAAATCACAATTCCCATGTGTCCAGTAAAATGTAATTAATAATTTAGACAAAATGTAATATATCAACTTTACAGCGATTCCAAACACGAATAAAGGAATCAATAATCATATTCCAGAAATATTCTTGAATTGAATAAAGAAAAATTACTGATGACTACAAGTAGACTTACGTTTTCAATACTGGTGAGTAAATGGTAATTTTTAATAATTGTCAGAAGTCAGTTAGTCTCACTTTTTGGTATAAGTCATTACTTACTTACTTACTCCTGTTACTCCTGGTGGAGAAGTATAGGCCGACAACCAGCACTCTCCATCCAAACCTGTTCTGGTCAACCCGTTCCATTTGTATCCGGTTGCTACCCATCCTTTTCATATCTGCTTCCATTTCCCAACGTTATGTGGTCTTTAGCCTTCCTCTTTTCCATATCTCTTCACAATTCCAACTTAGCGATTGTCTCGTGATGTAGTTTCATGATTTCCTCAATATGTGTTCTATCCAATTCCAGAGAGTTTTCCTAATTTCCTCTTCACCTACAAGTTGGTTCGTTCTCTTCTACAGTAGGCTGTTGTTGATGGTATCTGATCAAAGCACATTGAGTAACTTACTTAGACAATTCTTTATAAATAGTTGTACCTTTTTCATGATGATGATTGATGTAATTCTCTAAGTTTCAGCTTCGTACGGCAGGACTGTCTCGACATTCGTATTGAAGATTGTGACTTTTATATTGGTTGACAGACAGTTGTTTTGAGTTCCCTATGTTCTTCAAATATAGGAATATTGTCTTTGCTTTGCCACTTCTTGCCTTCACGTCTGTATCAGATCCTCCACTTTTATCGATAATGCTGATCAGTCTGGTACGTGAAAGTCTGCACCTCTTCCAGAATTCCTTCATAAAGTGTGATTGGGTTGGCTGTTCTCCGTATTGAATTTGAGAATCTTGGCCTTTCCCTTGCATAGGTTAAGGTCTTCTGTTGCTGAGGCTGCAGTTACATTCTTTGTCTTCATCTGCATTTGTTGATATGTATGCGATAGATGAGCTAGGTCACCTGCGAATTCCAAATCGTTTAACTGATTCTGAGCTATCCATTGGTATAAGTCATACGTATAAAGAAAAACCATTCGTATATTGTGAAGAAAATATGAATTACAAATATTCAGTGATGGTGTATCGCATTGACCTCATCAATCTCACACTGTATTCATTAGGAAATTGAGCATATGAGATTTTGAACGTTTCTTAATTTCAAGAAATATTAGTAGAATTCGAAATAAATTAGTTTATTCCATAGATTATTTTTAACTGATTCAAGCCTAATACACTATTTAATTTGAAGCGAATGTTACAAAACATATACGTTGCTTTCAACTAACTAACTAACTTACAAACTAACAAGAAAGGAATGACTAAGTGAGGATAACATGAGATGGTGGAGAAGATTTGTAGCTCAGTTGGATGATTTTGGTGGTCATACACGACCAAACCATCCAACTCAGAGAACAAAACTCTACCAAAAAGAGGATAACATGAATATTGCGATGTAATGGTTACCATTAGCGTAGTTTACATCGAACAACTGTGGTTGCTCTACTTGGTTTTCTCTGTAATTCAATTTGTGATAGTTTATAAATATTTTTATGAGGAAATATACATTTAGGCGACGGATAGTTAATAAAAGTTTCTCAAAACAAATTTAGATCATTCAATGAACATTTGAAAAAAAAACTGATGTCCTAGATGTTTGATCAACTGGCTGTGTCTACACTACTGTTTTAATGATACAATATTCATGATCATAAAATAATAAACTTCCAATGTCTCAATTGGTAAAAAAAATTGAATTTCTGGTATGATGTGACTTTGTGTAAGCTACTTCTCTAAAGAATAAATAAATAAACAATACAAAAAGTCAATTGAAGCTAGACCACCATGGAAAACCTGGAAGACAATGGTATACGGTAGCGAAACTTCGTGGATTGGTTGGAGTTAGACATTAACACCGTCGGATGCCGGCTCAGTGATCTAGTTGGTTAAGCGCTTGGCACGAGACTGATAGGTTCTGGGTCCGAACCTCGCGGGGAGCGTGATCGTGGACGTGCATTACTGAGGATTCCCATACTAGGATGAGACGGCTGTTCAGTGCTTCCAGGTTTTCCATGGTGGTTTAGGTTCAATGGACTCATGATTTCAATCTGTGAAATTTCTAAAATCTCCACAAACCCCTTCTGATAATTCAAAAAGTTCAAATAAAATACAGGTCACAAGTAATCTCTCCAACATCTGTTAGATAAATTCTATCATTCTGTTGTCATGTCATTTTGGGTAAACATATATATGTGTGTGTGTTCAAGTGTATATAAAATGTGATGTGAAAAGTGTAATTCTTATTGTTTAGACTAGTAATTTAATTTGTATATGCGTTTGTGGTGTGAGTCATTGTTATCCTCTACTCTTATTGGTTCTCTTGATTTTATTTGTTTGTGCAACCACTTTGATGCATGTTCACACATCCTAATTTTGAGATCACGATTGCTCTTCCCCTATATATGTGTGACCACACGCACATTTAAATTGGTAAACACAGTGGAATGTGACACAATCGTTTTCATGTCTTTTAGGTTTTGAATGAAGCATAATAATATTATTATTTTAATTATGAACAACAACAACAACAACAGCAGCAAAAGACCCCCAAAAACTTGAAATCTACTTCAATATATATAGAAACAAATTTTATTTGATAATATTGTTGACTAGTTGCCTAGTTTAATGAAATCAACAGTCTTTTTTCTTTTTTGTTCATTGTTAAATCATAAGGAAAACAAATTATACATAGTAGTTTTGACAGTCCACTTATAAAACTAATCACTTTTCATGGTTGAATGCTAATAGACGTCAAAAAGTCGTAATTTATATTAGCTGAAATCTAGAGAGAATAATTATAATTGTAATAAATGAAATTCACTTAGTTCATTATTAGTTTAGTTTTAATATTTGACTCCGATTGGATTGCATACTGATTGTTATTGAAATACACATGTCGGCTATTCTCGTACATAATCCTCAAGTTAAATCGCTTTGGTGGTGAATAACAGATACGGAAATGGAACTTTTGAATACATTTATTTTGAACACTCATTGATCTAGACAGGAAATGAGAGGGATGACGCGAATAAAAGAGAGCGATGCGAAAGGACACGCAGTGGAGAAGGCTTGTGAGCCAACTCCATTTCATCAAGCGGTAATCAATATTTATAGTCACACAAAAATAAGTTACAAACATGTAATGAATAGGATAAAAAGTGCACACATATATATGCTCACATAACAAAGGTCAAGATTGATAAGCGAATAATTAACAAGGTCAAAATGTGTGACTCAAAAAGAACGGATAAACTGGCCTGTCCAGAAGCTAGAATAAGGTATATGGGCTTGGCATAGCAACCGACACTACAATATAATCACTTGTTAAATCACAGCAATATAACTTAAATGCTTTTTTTACCGATTACGATTTCAGTGTAAACAACAGCAATGATAACAACAACAACTACAGCATATAAAATATTCAATAGATTTTTTGACAGTTAAAACGAAATACACATATGAATAACTAGGTTTCCTACAACTAACTTCTTCAAAGAAACCATATTTATCCAAAATTAGAAGTAACACTAATGTTCGTACGTGTTTACGTGCCACTGTGATCGATCGATAAGTACGCTGCGTATCAAAACCTACAGTCACCCGTTACAACAGTTTGACTCGGTAGTCATTACTCAGTTTCGTTGGGGAAATGATCAGAAATAAAAATCATCTAACATACATAGGTTTCATTCATAAAACAACCACATACTAAAACGTTTTCCAATCATGTTAAGTTGTTGAATTTGGAATTCATTCGTGTGAATACAAGCCATGAAATGTGATGAAACTGTAGTAACAGAAGAAATTTGTGAGGATCTGATGTGTCACAATCATCGATCGTGTAGTCTGGCATAAAATTAGCGTGTAAAAATTAACTTAAAAGGTCTGAATTATTGGACAGTTGAGAAAGGTCTTTTAAAGAACAATTGATAACAGTCGTTTAGTAATGCTAACTATCGATAATAAAAAAACATGAACTATTGTATCCCAGCTCAGTGATTTACAGATTACTAATTTGCCGTTAAGAATCGGTACCATAGATTTGATTTTTATTTGGATGGTAGTTACACAATACTAAGGAATTCCGTATTAACATAAAATGCTTAACAAGTATTTCTTGATTTTCAAAGATTGTCTACCTAAAGTTTTCCCATAATAATAACCAACTTAATAAAATGGCTTTTTCCGGGTGAACTATTTATTATTGTAAGTCATTCATGGTAGTAGTAGAACTACCCATTAGCAGGATATGGCTTTTTATTGGAAAACTGGAATTGCTTTCACTTATATTTACATGATATTGGATGTTGGATAGCAATACTTATCCACAACATGATGAGAATATTGTTGATAGATTTCACTTTTACTTTAATTGAAACCTTCAGAGTATAATCAAAACATTATATTCGATAACAATAAAACATCAGAACAAAGTTTCGTGATTGGTCAACTATTGGCAATATTCAAGGAAATCAAATGAAAAAGTGTAAATGTAGGGATGCTGTTAAGCAAAATAGAAAAATTTCTTTTTATAGATCAAGATCACCGGAAATAGTAATTTTAAATTGAAAGAATATACTAATACAATGAGCTCCAGATGATATGTCAGTAACATACTACTGATAATTTAGTGAAAATACAGTCCTGTATAATGTCAGGTTAATCAAACCTTTGACACTATTTCACCAATATAATTCCGTCGTCGCTATTGAATGAACAACTTGGTATTATTTACTAGTAAATAATTGGTTAATGTAAATACTCAGCACTGGTGAGAGAAATTTACGGCTCGATTAGCGTGTTAGAGTCCACACTGATTTTGATTATGAATGATCCCACTTATTTTGATATATATTTTAGACCGAAAATTGTTGGATAATCAGAATGGCGGCCTGCTTGAATATCTGGGCTACCTGTTCCTCCGATCTAGATATTTCTTCAAGTTATCTGTTTTGTTGTTTGTTTTAGCACATCATTATGTCTATTGTGCTCACAAACTATTCAGGCGCGTTTATGAAGAGTTTACAACCTTTCGCTATACGTGATACAAAAAGGTATAATCAGCGACATCATGGTGGCTGGCAATACGCATTGAAACGAATGAACAATAATCAAATGTGGATTACCGAACTCCTAACATCTAACCGATCACCATTCAAAATTTATCGTCACAATAGATCAAGGTATAAAAAAAGGAAACTTGTTGAAATACTTTATGCTGAGAATTCTATGTTGTACCAAAAATATAATGTTGATTAAAGCTAATAATAATAATAATAATAATAATAATAATAATAATAATAATAATGACTTCAGTGTCGAGATATCAAAAAGCCTAATGTATACAAAGTATGCTTCCAGTGAAGTATGGTTTGATTGTTGAATTTGTTTAAGAGATAAGTCAAACAGACAATTAAGAATATACCCATGTAATCGCAATTGATTGATCACTGGGTGGTCACCAATGTCATGTATTTCAAGTCTTTATTAGTGCAGATCGATCATGATGCAATGTAGCCGCCAGTCTAGGTGGCTCGACACTGCGTGCACTATTGTGAGATTAGATGGTGGTTGGAGGTAGTCGATAGGAAACCCTGGACCCAGGTCTCGTGCTACTTGGCACTCGTCAGCAAGGTGTATCTGTAATCCTGAGGGAACTGGTGCTCCCTGGCAGATTTGATCCAGTGTCACCCAGTTTCACAATCAGAGACGTTACCACTGAGCTATCCGGGCCGTGACCAGGTACACGTTGCTTTATTATTGATAACTATACTGCTTATGAAATGTGTACACACAGCACTCATAACTGAAAACTTTAAAACTGACTTACATAAAATAATGATCGAAAAAATGACAAAACTTACTGAAATCACAAACACAATTTGCTAACAATGTATTTACACGAAATTCAATATTGGCATGTTTTTTAAGTTCAGTTTTAGCTGTAATTGTATCACGACTTGCTCTTGATTCTAAAAGTAACATATCTTCACACTCTTGTAACCAAATGCGTAATTCTGCAAATTCACCAAGATGTGTAAAACATTGAAAGCCTACATTTAATCGTTCAGTACGTTTGGACATTCTATCAACCAAATTTTTTAAATCATGACGTAGTTCTATCACTAATGTGTGCAAATCGATTAGAATTTTCTTAGGGATATTATATTTTACACCTATATCAGTTGATAATTCAATTTGAATAAAATTATCGTCTGTTTGAATGGTCATTGTTTTCTCAGACGATTTAACCGTCGATTGTTGAGTTGTTTTAGAATAATCATCTATGACTACTTCAAATGTTGACTGAAATTTCGTAATAATATTATCTGCATCCTAAAAACGTAAAAAAATGAAATGTCAGATACAATACAATGAGCTATCGTTATAAAAAAAATGAAATACCCCCCCCCGAAAAAAATATTTATGTGCAAAAAATCTCAGTAACTGGGCTTGTTTTTTCCGTTACTACAAATTAATGTCACATAGTGATTAATGGAGATAAGAACGCATGATTTCTTCTCTTTTTTCTGATTATCATTTAAGTTGGATATAAAAATACCCTGTGATAACCAATTAGAATGAATAAACTTTCTATTACTGTTTCTAAAGAATAGAGTATTTTATTTCATCCTGAAAAAAATTTTCGTAGATTATAATCGCGAAAATAAGTTATTAAATTAAACGGAAATCTTAAAAAAAAAGTACTTAAAACTAGATAGTCATTTAGATGAGCGAAAAATAGATTTTCAGGCCAGAAAACATTCAGAACTCGACAAGGAATAAAACCTAGGAGACTAATGTCTCTTGACTACTGAGTTAGAAATTGGTTGTCTCTACTTTCATTTCTGATAACGTACGTAATATTCAAAATAAATAAACCAATCATTTTAACAAAAGAAGATCCTTTGACTTGTGTGAGAATGTCTTCCTGGGTATACGCGATTTGTAGTTACAACTACTAGGTTATTTGATTTCGGTTATAAACTACTTGATTCCACGTGTTTTACGCCATGGAAAACCTGGAAGCAATAGACGGCCGTTTCGTCCTGGCATGGCACTTCTTAGCAGTGCGCATCCACGATCCCGCCGTCCAGTGCTTCCAGGTTTTCCATGATGGTCTAGCTTCAATTGACTCATGATTTCAATCTGTGAAATTTCTTAAATCTTCACAAATCCTTTCTGATAATATTTGTAATATCTCAATGAGTAGAAAAATTAAATTTTCTGACGTTTCATGACTCAGAGTAAGCCACTTATTCAGAGAATCAGAAAGTCAAGAAACATCAAAAAATTTACTTTCTCTACTCATTGAGATATTGCATATATATATATATATATATTTATAATAATCAATCTAATGTTCAATTTATTTGAGATTATCAAGGGAAATCTTGGCAATGATGTGGTGCGTGCTACTTATATCGATGTAGGTAGTATATGAGGCGAGTTAAAAACGCTATGTCTGGCAGCAGAAGATGGGGGAAGATCAAGAAAGAAAGAGCGACAACACAATACAATTTGTTAGAAAACGCATGAACAATGAAATACGAGATAATGGATTGATGTTTGTAACAGGAACAGTCCAGCTTTATATGATGCATTAATATTTTGCAAAATAACGATTTACTATATGGTTTTCTTATTTCACCAAGTGACGCTGTAATATTTTGCTCAATGCAATTCGATTGTCCACACCCGTGTTCTGTTCACTACAATGATACTTGTTGATCTAAATAACACGATTCCTACCATTTTCTGATATATTAGCAATAGGTCATTGACTGGCTTGATACTCAGTTGCTTTTAACCACATCCAACGGGTTTCAATGGAGAAGAAACAGATATATAGTTCATTATGTTCTCAATTGGTATTGTCATTTACAAAAAACCATTGATAACGAATATGCAATCATCTTTAAGAGAACAGTTTTTTTCAACTTTTTATATTGAAACCAAGTACTTAGATACACAAATAGATCTCAAAAATAAATTGTACTATGCAATGCTAAATAATGGGACATTAGTTCAATGTAAGTCGTGTCAAATATAATAATCTCATGCCAAATAGCATGAATACTCATAGTTTAGAAATTTACCCACTTGTATCGCGATTTCCATTCTATCTGTCCTATTGGCTACTTCCTTTATGAGTAATTGATGTTGCCTGATCAGCTGATTTACAGCAAATAAGGATCGACCAATATAAGTGTTATCGGCTAAAAGAAGTTTTTCATGAGTCCAAATCCTCTCATTTTCTAAATCTCTGAAAAAAAACATTTAATAATAATATTCAGGCTATTCAAACCTGAAGTACACTTGTTCGTAAGGTAAATTATTAGCAAACTGATCACATATCATTTATTTATACACTTAGCATCGATAGAACAAATCAAGTTATGAAGACTACACAAATGAAACTACCTAACTTCAATTAAATCATCAATGAAAACTGACTTGTATGGAATAATTTTATGTTATTCTTCATTGTTAAACATATTTAAGCTTGTTAGAGTTGTAACACATAAGGGATGTTAAATGTGGATTCGTCGAACTTGAACCTAAATGATCTTATATTCTTTTGAGTTTCCATCGTCAAAAAAGACCTACTGTTTCACCTTAAATTAATCACACCTAATATTATTTAAAATTATATCTTTTGAGAATACTAAAAAAACATAATTCTGTGTCACTCTGCTCATAATTTGCATCTTAAAGAGTGAACTATTCTTTTCCCCCAAAAAACATCTTCGAATGCAGTTTTACATAATTATGGCATACAAGTGACCTGGATAACCTTTCGTTAGGGTCTCTATTTAATTTTGATAAAAAAACTGCCTCGAGACTGATAGGTCTTAGGTTCGAATCCCGCGGGGTGTGGGATCGTGGATGCACACTGCTGAGGAGTCCCATACTAGGACGAAATGGCCGTCCAGTGTTTCCAGGTTTTCCATGGTGGTCTAGCTTCAATTGACTCATGATTTCAATCTGTGAAATTTCTAAAATCTCCACAAACCCCTTATGATAAAAAAAAATTGTATCTAATTTTATAGTTTTAAATAAAAAAAGAAATTCATTTACATATTACACATGTCAGATTTTGTTGTCAGTGGGCAAAGATTTACAATCTAATAACCTTCACTCTGTGGATGGCGGCTTCTCAAAACTTTATATTTCGTTTGTATTACCTCAAAATACCTCAGCATTATTGCGTGCATAAAGATAATAATAAATATGTATATTTGTTTACGCTCTGATAATTTAATTGAACAGGATTGTTTATAAAATGAATGTAACTGGTCTCACACGCAATAAATAAAACTCGATTTTAATGAAATCATGTTTGTTTAATTAGGTCAATGGAATCCTCTTATCGATTTGGTCCGGATATCACGCGAGTTTAAAAGCTTTTCTCAAAAACAAACTGTGCATACTATTACTTTTGTGACAATGGTCAAGAAAATTATGATTTTTCAATCATATACATTTTTTGAATGAATGATATCGAAACATTTCCACTATAGTGCTAACTAGATATACAAAAATGATTCAATGATTTATAAATTTAATAGTTATGAATCGATGAAAACTAGACCATCATGAAAAACCTGGAAGCACTGGACGGTTGTTTCGTCCCATTAGTTCGCATTCACGATCCCGCTTGCGAGATTTGAACCCAACACCAATCAGTTTTGTGCGCGAACGCTTAGCCTCTATACCACATAGTCGGCATCCAATAGTATCAGTGTCTAACTTCAACCAATCGACGGAATTGAGCCATCATCTACCATTGTCTTTAGTGAGTTACTATCTCACAACAGGTTTTTCATGGTGATCTAGCTTTAATTGACTTATAAATTCAACTATTAAATTACTATAATATCCACATAACGCCTTATCATTTATAAATTGTTTGATGAGGATAATGATGATGATTACGAGAGCAATTATAATGATAGGAAAATTTACCTATAAAGTTGATAAATGTGTTTTTGTGCTTTCAGTTCTTCAGCATGTTCATAAACAAATATTTGAATTTTCCAAAATTTCTTGATCAAACTCTGCATTTTTAACTCTGCTTCAGTATTCTGATTTTGGTTATCAAGTTTTGATAGGATCTTGGAATGTTCCTGGAAGTAATGCAAATTGGGTAAATCATTAAACTAAGATTATTTAAAATTAATTTAATAGAGAATGATTGATTTAGTTCTTATCTGGATTGACGCATTTACCTCTCAAGGTACCTAGTAGAAAGTTCAGACTGATGAACTTAATTTACATTAGAAGATAGAAACCGTTGTTTGTATCTTACAATCGTATGGCTGTATCAAGAAATGAATGAGATTAAATATGTTAACGATTGAAATTCCACTTAATAGTTTAAAGGTTAAGCAAGCTCATTGATATACCCATAGACATGATCATTGAAATGGATTTATTATAAGTAATCCCTCCCCTCTTAGTTGCAGTTCAGCCCTATCCACCATCATTTGCGAACAAATTGTGGTATTAATCATTAAGTATTCATTTATTCAGTATTCAAAATAGAATTTCATGATAAAAAGCAAACTGAGAACTTTAATGACATTCAATTCTCCTAAACCTATAGTGACAGTCTTAATAACTGTGGTTATATTACTGATGTTGATATTTTCTGCGTACAATTTTTTTCACATGTCACTTAACGAAACAGAAAAATGTAGACATTTGACTTTCTGTTCTATCTTTGAGGCACTTATCACTATTTACGATACCACATTTAGCTTTCTAGTGAATACATATCATAAATTGAAGTGATCGATGATTTGACTTGTGCATTTGTTCGTTAGTAAAATTTTGATGTCAGTAATATATGTATCGATATTGTGCAAAACACTGTTGTATATCAATTTCTAGGATCTGAATGAAGCATTAGGATACACAAAAATGATGACATTTACTCACAGAGTATATGATAATAAAAAAAATATATGAAGATATAGTGGAAGCATGAAATGATTGCATGGCAACCAGGATATTTAAAAAAATTTGCAATACAAAAGACTACACATATGGATGAAAACTATTCAGATCAAGATATCGTTCCATAGTAAATTGGTATGGTAATTAATTTATAAGAAGTATGTAGAAATAGAGTTATAATATAATTCAGAAACCATTAAGGAAGAAGTATTTGAGAATTACCATAATCGTAGTTATTACAATGCTAACAATCCTAGTGTGTTCATTCGAAGTGTGTAAAGCGCGGAAAAAATGTAAGAGAAGCGTAAGACAAACAATAACTGACTTTTCCTATAAATGTGATGTAAATAAATGTCGATTTACTACATTTTCTTTTATGAAGCTAACTTCATATTCACTTATTTGTTTATTTATTTATTTTAACTCATAGATATTGGTACAAAAAGGCACCACATCTCATTCGATATGTGTGAGGTCTGTGATACTGGCCGGGTGCCCAAAACGAAGCAGTTGGTTTTCTTAGGGGGCCACACCCCGAGCCTTCGACCCGAAGGTCTGATCCACAAGGTAGTGGATCAACGTAAGGAGATGCAGTCTCATGGTAGCCGGTGACCAACAATTGGTTCGTACGCCATTTGTTCCCACAGGATACTGGAGCCCATGTGCACCATTTATTTGTACCACAATTTGACTGATAAACCAATTGCGGTTATTTAATATACCAGTAAACATTATCTATTCAGATGTGATGTGAATGTGAAAACTAATGCAACAAATCAAAAGTGAATCATTAACATTAATTTAAGCAACTATTTAGAAAATCAAAAATGTTTACAAGAAAACGTAGGATACTTTCAATACCATAAAAAGTGTTGAAAATAACGACTTGAAATTCAACATCCATACTCTTGTCATTCAGTACAGTCGATCAAAAAGTTGGTCGTATTCAAGGGCATCAAAGCAATCAACATATCTGTTTTTAAACTATATGATCAAGACACACTTCAAACAAAAAAAACGTGAGCGACGAAGTCTATTCGAATAGAACTAACATCTAACTGTGCACAAGACGGATTTTTTTATTGTCATTCTTCATTATGTCAGTATCGTAGAGAAATATGTAGATAACAGATAGGTCAATGATTTGATGATCAAGTGTTTTATATTCATTACATTTTACCTTTGACAAAAACTGACGAATATTTTATTTTATTTCATCAAAGTTTAAAGAAATTCAACCTGAATCGTCAGAACTTATTTACTTACTTACTAAATTACGCCTATTACTACTAATAGAGCATAGGCCGCTGACCAGCATTCTCCAACTCACTATGTCCTCCGCCTTCTTTTCTAATTCCATCCAATTCTTGTTCATTTTTCTCATGTCTATTTTCATTCCCCGGCGAAATGTGTTCTTTGGTCTTCCTCTCCTCCTTTGGCCTTGAGGATTCCATGTGAGGGCTTGTCTTGTTACACAGTTGGTTGCTTTCCTCAATGTGTGTCCTATCCACTTCCAGCACTTCTGTCTGACTTCTTCTTCCTCTGGGATCTGGTTTGTCCTCTCTCATAGTAGGTTGTTGGCAATAATGTCCGGCCAACGGATTCGAAGTATTTTGCGTAGACAACCGTTAATAAACACCTGTATCTTCTGGATGATGGCTTTCGTAGTTCTCCAGGTTTCTGCCCCATACAGTAGAACTGTCTTGACATTTGTAATGAAAATCCCGACCTTAGTGTTGTTTGACAGTTGTTTTGAGTTCCAGGTGTTCCTCAGCTGTAAATATGCTGCTCATGCTTTACCAATCCGAGCTTTCACATCCACATCAGATCCACCATGTTCATCAATGATGCTGCCCAAATATGTAAAGGTTTTTACATCTTCCAAAGCTTCTCGGTCAAAATTGATTGGATTGGTGCATGCTGTGTTGTATCGGAGAACCTTCCTCTTCCCTTTCTGTATATTGAGACCTATAGTTGCTGAGGCTGTTGCTACACCGGTCGTCTTCTCCTGCATTTGTTGTTGCGTTTGCGATAGAAGAGCCAGATCATCTGCGAAGTCTAGATCGTCCAACTGCATCTTAGATGTCCACTGTGTCCAATGCTTCTCTCCAAATCTTGACGTCAGAACTTATTTAATCCACCAATATTTTTTTATTTATAAAAAATGAAACATATTTATGTGAAATGTTAACTTTTAAACATAAAAAATTATTTTAAAGAACTATAGGGGTTGTAGAGATTATTGAGTTTTTGATTGAGATCATGAACCAATTGATGTTAGACCATCACAATTGAAAACCTGGAAGCACTGGAAGACCGTTTCGTCCTATTATGGGACTCCTCAACAGTGCGCATCCACGAACTGAGAATTGAGAATTATCGATTTACAATTATTCAGGTATTTTTTATGATCATAAATATTCTCTATCTATATAACGCGCAAAAGAAAAATACATTGAAAATACCATACTATTAATGAACGGAAATATTTGTATGTTGAACAATTTTTTGTTTCATATGTTCTCTAAGACATAATATTAGTTTTAGTCCGTACAAATAGTCATCAGTGAACATTGTATAATATATAATGTTCTACTTAATCATATATGATTGCTTTAACATCTAAGTACATACTTAACAATGAAAACTGTAATCTACATATTTCATGTGATAGGAAGAAAATAATGAAACTTGACAGTTTGATTCATTTCATAATGTGGTTGCTTTAAATATTTCCGAAAAAAAAACCCACTAACACATGGTAATAGTTCAGCTCGCGTTCTAAGATATAAGGATACATGGAATTGTACTTTTATTGCAAATTCTATGAGAAAGTTTTTCTCACTCTTCCTTCATCGATATCACTTAAAATATTATGCATAGTATGATGAGTTTTCTTTTTTTTTAATTATGAATACTAGTAGAACTAATGACAGATTAAAATTTATGAAATAAATGGTTTATTGATCATCATAATGTACTTAGAGTATTTCAATGTGGATTATCCCTTCATCAGAAGTACTACTACAAGCAAACTGTTTATTTTATTGGTATCAACAGACAATTTAATTATCAATTTATTTTTATTGATGTAGTTGAATTGTTTTAGCAGCGACACTTAAGGGTTGGATTTGTCTGGCTTTACACTGTTTAGTTACTGAAATCACTATCCAATTTACTGCAACACGTTTCACTATACAATTTGATATGTTGAATGAAATAAATCTTGTTTCATTATCACCAATTGTTAAATTTTATGATTTATGTAAAATCACAGATTGAAATCATGAGTCAATTGAAGTTAGTCCACCATGGAAAACCTGGAAGCAATAGACGGCCATTTCGTCCTAGTATGGGACTCCTCAGCAGTGCGCATCCACGATCCCGCACCCCGTGGGATTCGAACCCAGGACTCATGATCTCAACTGTTAAAATTACTATATATATCCACAAAACGCATTCTGATAATAATCAACTGCTCACTAGTGACTGACTTGAAGAAAAACTCCTGAAGTTCTAGTGAGAAGCCGTTACCAATGGAGTTCAACCAGGTCTGTTGTGAGATAGGAACTCACTAAAGACAATGGTGTACGGTGGCGCAATTTCGTGGATTGGTTGAGGTTAGACATTAACACTGTTGGATGCTGGTCAAGCGGTGGTGCGAAATTGATAGGTCCTGGGTTCGAATCTGGCGGTGTGCGGGATCGTGGATGCGCACTACGGAGGAGTCCCACAATAGGGAAAAAACGGCCTTCCAGTGCTTCCAGCTTTCTCATTGTAATCTAGATTCAATTGAATCATGATCTTAACCATTAAAAAATTACTATAAATATCCACAAAACCCATTCTGATAATTTATATAATCGACAACCATTCCACTCTGAAAAACATATAAGTCCCATTAACTAATTTAAGAAAAAAACTAAATAAACTTAACATATAATAAAAATTATAGTATTACTTCTTTCTTTTTGTTTCGAGGAAAAATTCAAAGGAAGTCATAATAACAACTATAATAGTTCAGCTTGTATTTTGTAGTAATTAGCTTCGTAATAAACTCTAATGTTTTAATTAAAGTCATGAGCACATATGGCTAATATGGCTAATTATTTAGTTCACGTAAAATTTTAACAAAGTTATTTAAAACAATTAGTCCCTTTTATAAAATTTGATAGAACAATGAGAAGACAGAGTTGATCTGATAAATGTGACGTATTTTCTCTGACAAGTAAATGTGTGTGACTAGATTGTTTGAAATGTATAGCGCAAATACATCACATTTTTTCAGATCAACTCCGTCTTCTCATTGTTCTATCGAAAGAAAGTTATACTGTTAAATTATGTATAGTAACACAAATTTATGGTAAGACCATCTTAATAATGAACATAAGTGACAATTTATTCAATTATTATTATCATTATTGTTGTTCGAATACCTTTATGAATTATTTCAAATTACGGGTTTATCTTAGTTTTTTTTTCTTTTTAAATGACTGACATATTTCATATAACAAAAGTCTTCTAATCACACTATAGTTCCTTTCATTAATGTTGATTGAACACATCAACCCATATATATATACTTAACCATGTACTTGTATTCCATAGAAAGTAATGTAAACATCTTTAACATTGAACAGGAAATTAAAATCCATTTAAAACAAAAAGTGAAATGAAATGAATAACAATTGAATATTGACTAATAAATATGTTTTACATTGATTGGTTCTATGATGTATCATCTAATAACATAATTTTCATTATATTGTCCAAAGGGAAACAAGATGAATTCGCGACTACAAAAAGGGAGGTAATGTTGTTGTTGTCGTTGTCGTTTTTTTTTGGAAACCAATTTCAAAAAATGAAATAACAAAACGATAAAAAACTTTGATTGTTTAATAAAATTATGATCATTCGTAACATTTTTCTTTTGGAAAATAAGAAATTGTTTACCATTAAAAAACAATAAATGATGATATAGAGTATAAGAATTTCATGATAGAATCCATTTATTTCATTCATCTGTAACACTATGTATTATTAAGCAATGATGGATAGTGGCTAGCAGTGGAATTCAGTTTGACGCACGTTTCGTCCTATGTGGGACTCGTCGTCAGCTGCATGTACCTACATCTCAGAGTTGTTCATGTTCACTCTGGGACTCGAACTCAGTACCATTCACTTCGAACGCCATCTTGTTATCCACTAAACTACTGAGTCATCAATGGGAAGATACAAGCCAAACAATACCAAGTGAATATTTATTATTGTATCATTGTATTAGTTCTTATTTTCCGTTATTCATTTTTACTACTGGTCATTAATAATATCGCATAGATAAAAATTGTTTCGAGTGAATCGTATATAAGAAAATGAGAATCAATCAAAGGCATATTTGTCAATAGAATAATCGATGATTAAATGGCATACTATAATGTCTAGTCTAATATCATGGTTAAATATATATGAATCCTATTCTAATTGTTTTTCAGTGAATCACTTCACTATTATATTTGAAGAACTTCCATAAAACTGAAATATTCATGAAATAAGCGATTGTACACCTTGTTCTCCGATCTAGATGGTTTGGCATTGGAACTTTTATTGTTCTTCTGAATGACATCATCATCACATACTTCAGGTAGAAGTACAGCTGATAAACTTTGTTATGAAAAACTGGACTGTTTAAATACTTTACGTAACTAAAAACTATTCCCAGATGTAACTGACATTATTCAACTAGAATCATTGTAATGTTCAGTGATAAACAACAAAATACAATTTGTTTACGAATAGAAATATTTAATAAATTTTCATCCCCAACATATAAAGAAACTAAGGTTTGTTCAATGACAACAATAATATTAGGTTACTGAGTAGTTATTGTCTTCCATAAATTGTAGACTAAAACTTATCTTGAAAATATGAGTGCGAATTCTGATATTTTGATAGATTTTCTAAGTAAACTATTATTTAGTGCAAACACTTACAAAACAAAAAAAGCGTTCTCATCTATAACCTTTAAAACCAATCCACGAAGTTGCACCACCGTACACCATTGTCTACAGTGAGTTCCTATCTCACAAAAGACCTGGTTGGTCTAAATTAGTAAATACTATGATGTTATCAGATAATAAATTCTCATCAACGCCTAACACGAAGGAATGATAATTACGTACAGGTTTAATAGTTTCCTATTTAATGTTTACAAAAGTAATGTTTATTATAATTGAGAATGAGGTCAATTAATGGTATTTAGTCTGAATACATGTATCTAAGGGCTACAAACAAGGGCTATTTATAAAAACATATTTATGAACACTAAAAAAATTACATCTTACATGAAGTTCAACTAAAAGTTTTTTCTTTACATCAATGTTGATTAAATATTCGGTCATTTTGTTCAAATAAGAAGATACTTCATTCATACTAGTACAACCTGGTATATTAGCTTTATTGGTCCAATTTTGATTCATAAACTTATTTTGTATAAGATATTCCAAAATGTTACTTGATGATTCTGTTGTTCCTTCGATCATTTTCATATTATGATTATATTCTGATGTGAATTGTCCAATTAAACTTTCCACCATCATTGATGGATCTTGTTCATCATGTTCTTCGAATTGTTTTAATTTATCAAATGATTTAAAAGATAAAAATTCTATAAAAAATTTATCTAACCAACGATTTAATTCGTTGTATCCATCTTCAAATATAATCGCTAGTTGTTAATGAAAAAAAAAAGAAATAAAATTACATTGGTATTATCAGAGTGATATAAAATTCAGCATGAGTCTAATCATATATATATCAATTGTCTTTTGGTTAGCAATGATACGTTTTAAGCAAAGATGGAATAGTGTCTAGGAGTGGAATCCAAGACAAAGCGCGTTTCGTCCTATTCGGGACTCGTCGACAGCTGGATGTACCTACATCTCAGAGAGTTGATGTGCACTACAGGACTCGAACCTACTACCATTCGTTTCAAACGGCATCACGTTATCCACTTAGCTACTGAGTCCTGATAGCCACTTGCTAGTGCAATGGGGTGAATTTGAATTCATTTGGTATTGTTTTTACTTGAATCCTCCCCATTGATTTTTAGGACTGAAATTGATCAGTTTCTTATTGGCGCACCTCCTTCATTCCACTGCTAGCCACTATTCCATCTTTGCTTATAATGCTTGTAAATTAAGGCAATATCGAGGCAATACGCACAGTATGCACATATGCCAATAACAGACTGATTGATTGTAGTCTTAAACCTCAGTGCGGAGATACAAGCCAAACAATACCAAATGAATGATACGTTTTGTTCTATTTTTTAACAAGGATGTTTAATATATCAACATTCCAGTGTAAAAGAAATCACTGAAATTCTAATTCAGATTTTGTTAGATTTCACTGCTTAGTAACTAAAATTTGATTAACTTTTAGCCAACAAAAAAATACATTTTTGAATCTAACATTCAAAGCGCCCATTTTTTGTCACAGACTAATCAAATAAAGTTCAGAATGACAATCACTAGAAATTTTCATTCAAAAATACTTGTAAAAGCGTAACATTAAGTTCGAAGTCAATTTTTTGTTGTTGTAATGTTGCATTGAACTAGTTTTTACAAAGCTCTCTTGTTCTATAATGAATAATTTCTTCGATAAAAAGTATTTTGGAAATAATACAACTTGATTTATTTTTGATAATAATTATTATCATAAAATTACTGATTTTAACTTAGAATAGACCATCGTGGAAAACCTGGAAACACTGGATGGCGGCTTCGTCCTAGTGTGAGAATCCTCGGCAGTGCGCATCCATGATCCTGCTCGCCAGATTCGAACCCAGGACCTATCGGTCTCACGCGTGGACGCTCAACCTCTAGACTACTGAGCCGGCATCCAATGGCCCAATAGGTTTTGGGTTCGAATCTTACTAGACAAGATCGTGGACGTGCACTGCTGTGGACCCCCATACTAGGACGAAGCGCTCATCCAGTGCTTCCCGCTTTTTCATGGTGGCCTAGCTTCAATTGACTCTTGAACTTAACTATTAAATAACAATTCGAATTAGGCTAAATTTATGCGTAAAGCAAAATCTGAATGAAATTAGATTTCGTGAATAGTTTATTATCATAAAAGTACACTTTATAGATGTTGCATTTGGTCATGAGTAATCTAATGAAGTGTCCATGATAATGTCTCCATTGTACGATGGAATTTGTCCTGACCAATTCTAAAAACCTAATGCAGATATACAGAAAATCATATCTGTAGTTCTTGTTTGATCCAATGTAAAGGTTACACCAGATAAATATACTCCAACTATCTCACTGTATTTTACTTCGCCACATTTTCTTGCCTTCTGTTTAGATCAATTATTAGTCTCCCAATGATTGTTGCTCAAATAATGAACCAAGTGGCTATGTTTAAATGTGAGACAAATTAAAGTTAATAACTAGTTCTATTTCGACATACAGCTTTTTCGTCACAGTTTAAAAGGATGTTCGTATGAGGCTGTTGAACGAATAAAAGTTTGAGAATAATTATAATTGGATTAAATGTTAGTAGGGTAAAGTGAGAGAAATAAAAAAAATAAACACCATTATTAACAATATTAAATATTGAATAAGCGATTACGTAATAAGTGAAATGAAATTAATTGAGTATCCAATATATAAATCGAAATGATTGTTAATTAGTTCACTTGGTATTGTTTTACTTGAATCTTCCTATTGATGTTTTAGGACTGAAATTGATCAGTTTCTTATTGGCATATGTGCATATTGTGCGTATTGCCTCGATATTGCCTTAATTTAGAAGCATTAGAAGCAAAGATGAATAGTGGCTAGCAGTGGAATCTAGGACTCGCGTTTCGTCCTGTTTGGAACTCATCGTCAGCTGGATGTACCTACATCTCAAAGTTGTTGATGTTCACTCTGGGACTCAAGCTTAGTATCGTTTGCTTCAAATGCCATAGCGTTATCCAGTTAGCTACTGAGTCCTCATTATTGAAATTCGGAAGAACTAAATGAATCAAGTCATTTAAACTCTAACATAGTTATCAGATTCATATGACCTTACTGTTTTTAATTAGAATTTACCAAATAAAAAAATTCAACTCCGCCTGTAGCTCTTTCAGATTTACTGTCGTTTACAAGCCCGAGTAAAGAAAGAGGGTTGGGCGTGGGGTCGTCAACCCCCATTCCGTAGAAAAAATCTCGCTAAAAAACGCTAACCAGATTAAACAAATTAAAAGTCAAGACAGTTCTACTGTACGGAGCTCAAACTTAAAGAACTACTACAACCATCAACAATAAGATACAAGTGTTCTTAAACAATTGTCTACTCAAGATGCTCAGTGTTCGTTCGCCGAATACCACTAGCAATAGCCTACTGTGGGAGAAACGAACGAGGAAATTAGAAAACGATGTCTGAGGTAGATAGGATATACATTAAGGAAATCACCAAACTGCATCACAAGCCAAGCGCTATCGGAAGCAAAAAGCAGGAAGGTCGAAGAACACATTGGTCGAGAATTGTAAGCAGACATGAAAAGGATGAATAGCAACCGGGAACAACTGGAAAGGATTTCGCAGTAAAGATTTCGGTGGCTAGTGTTGGTGAGCGACCGACGCTCCTTTGCGAGGTGTAACAGGCGTAAGTAATTTAAAAAATATGCTCCGATAAAACTACAACATATGGATGCCTTACTTTGGCTGTTATATTACGTATTTATGGATTTAGAAGTTTGCGTTTCCAAGATTGGTTGATTCATAAATACTTAATCACTTGAAAATCATTCTTTGTTTCTAAACACTATCTGAGGATCTCTAGTTTGTACAATAAATAGGTTGGCTTAAACGTATTTTACTGTATATATTCAAGTGTTAGTAGTGAGTCTTATTACTTCACAACGTACAGTGATATGAGTATTGCCTGATTCGATACATTATATAATGGATGTTTATCAAGTGAATTTGAGTCTAAAGTGTGCAAACAAGTCCGAATGCAAGTTCAAGTTTATTCTCTAAAAGTACTTGGGTATTTAAAGGAAGAGAATTAGATTTCTAAAAAAATAAACTGAATTAAACTAGAATTAGTTCTTATAATGTTTTTAGAAGTTAACACTGACTGTTGATAATTTATCTTAATTTAGAGTAGCAGGTGAACACGTAGAGCAAATTATAACAGTTAGATGAGTAACTTTTCGTTTTACATATGGAAAACGGAGTTTGATTCGTAAAAACAAATTGAATATTCTCTTAAATTTAGTCATAAAATGATCCACCAGAAGTGGATCCAACAGTGATCTTATCATAGTCCTATCTTTATGCACTTTGTTATTGAAATTAACTTGAACATGAAGGTACAATGTAACAAATGCTTCTTCGTATAAGTGATCTGCAAAATCATAATTTGTGCCGTGTTCATCAATCTAGTGATAATTGTAACAAATAGATTCTGTTAGAGCTAAACGGGTAAAAAAAAGAACTAACACTAAGTGAAAACACAATTTTCTTTTCAGAAGTATCACTGTTTATCATTGTTTCCGCAAACTATATTGTATGACGAATAACGGTGCTGATGATGTCGTTCAGAAGAACGATGAAAGCTCCACGACCAAACCATCCAGCTCAGAGAACAAAACTCCACCAAAATCATCCACCTGAGCTACAAATCTTCTCCACCATCTCAACATCAACCCAGTCAACGTTAACAGGTAAGCACAAATTTCCCTAAGTGATTGGCAAAATGCTAAAATAGAAACATCTTTTTAATCTGTTTAATTAATCATGTAACAGATAAGACTTTTTTTCTGTTTAAAATAAGCTTGAAACAAGTGTATCCATTAATGAATGACAGAAAACTTAATAGGTTATTCAATAATTCTTTCTAAATTCTTGTTTATAAGTATCACTACTATGGTTTGAATTTCTAAGATTGTCTATATATTGTACTGTATTACTATTGTACAATTTAATTTTTTTTTACTGTTATTTTGATTTGGTCATAAATTCTCCATAGAAACAACTAAGTCGAAAGAAACGTCAAAAATTCAATTAGTGTATTACAAAATTTCTGATTAGTTTATTGTTCACATTGATTTATCTCACCTTTCTTTCACTAATAAAGTACGCTTAAATTGACTATTCATGCAAAACGTATTACATAGTTATAATTCTAATCATTTTATTTATTTAGTTTAAACATACTCTATCTTTATTGAAATGCTCATGCTCATTATCGTATTTGATCGATTTATATGCGTCAAAAAACTATTACAGAACATTCAAGTTAAGAATGATGAAGGATCCTAAACAACATTGATCGGTAGTAGAACTTTTTTATGATTGATAATGAAAATCTGTAAATTATTGGTATTACTACTAATGCATTAGTACAAACTATGAACAAGTTCATTTTCAACATATTAGATCTTAATGTCTTTATTCCATTAGTTCATTCATATTCATGTAACTCCGCCTGAAGTCCCTCTGTGGGGCTACTGCCTGTCCCAAACCCGTATAAAGGAGGAGGGTTGGGCATGGGGTTAGGGACCCCATCCTGTAGAAAACTAACTCGCTAAAAGAACGCTAACCAGAAAAAAATTATTCAAACCTTTTAAGTAATTCATATTCATGCAATAAAATAAGTTTATAAAAAGCGAAAATAGTTTTATACTAGAAAATCATAAATAACTTTAAATTTACATGAATGAATAGTTTACTATTTAACTATTGCTAATGAACCAGGGAAGTCATGAATCGGTAAAGCAAGAGCAGCATATTTACAACTGAAGAACGTCTGAAATTCAAAACAACTATCTGTCAACCAACAACAAGGTCAGGATCTTCAATACAAATGTCAAGACACTTCTATTGTATGGGGCAGAAACCTGGAGAACTACGAAAGCCATCATCCAGAAGATACAGGTGTTTATTAACAGTTGTGTACGCAAAATACTTCGAATCCGTTGGCCGGACACTATTACCAACAAACATCTGTGGGAAAGAACAAATCAGATTCCAGAGGAGGAAGAAATTAGAAAGAAGTGCTGGAAGTGGATAGGACACACATTGAGGAAAGCAACCAACTGTGTAACAAGACAAGCCCTCACATGGAATCCTCAAGGACAAAGGAGGAGAGGAAGACCAATTAGGAGTAACAGGCGTAAGTAAGTAATTAACCAGTGAAGTGTTTTATTATTATTTAAAGAAAGTTATGTATCTATGTGAATAGAAACAAAACAAACAAAAATGTGTAATTCTGACTATAATTGTGAAATGATGGAAACATCTTTGAAACTTTTCAACTAAACTTCTGATTGTCACATTGTGATCAAGTGTTTTCGGTATATTTAAGTTAGGGGTTGAAAAGCAAAAAACCAAATGTCAAGTATTCAGTTTTCCATAAAAATTGATCTGCATTTTGTATTTAGATGCTTCTTGAAACTGTTTTGCGAGTTAGATATTTATTATGCTCTATGGCATTCGAATGTGTAATTCCGACTAATTGAAGAATATATTCTATAACAAACAATATTTCTTCCTTAAAACATAGCGTATATTCTTTTACACATAACCTCAAATGAGACTGACTTTATTATATTCGGAGTTGAGTGTTAATTATAATGAATGAAAAGGGATACATTTGATAAAATGATGCAACCAGGTTCAGAATTAACTAATATATTATGCAACCAGATACAAAGTTAACATACCCCTGTGTAACTGAACCATATAATCACCTCTTTCCCGTATCAATTTACGTAGACTCTCCCATAGTATCATTAAATTACTAAGTGATTCACTCAATTGATCCGCAATACGTGGATATTGTACAATGGTATTGACTACATTCTAATTGAAAAAAATATATAAACGATTTGAATTTTTAATTGAATAATGTGTAATGCAAAAAGTTTAATATGTGTAAACTAATGACTTCAACAAAACGTAATCAAATTAGAAAAGAAAAAGGGGAAATTCTCTATTGGTACACGATCTATATTCATTAAGAATGTGTTATAACAGAAAGAACATTGTTGAACAAGCTGGTTGCTACTTCCGGATACAAGCCTGGGTATAAAGAGAAGTTAGCGAATAGTGAACTAATAGGAACATGACTGTCGAGTTGAGCACATTAGCGCTAGTTGAGCTAGTACCTGTTCAATTCAGAGATACTAATCTGTAGAGTAATTAGCAGTCCGGAATAGAAATAGGGTTCTGAGAGTCAACTCGGAGCACGTGATACTGGTTGATTGGTTCAAAGAAATAACGGAATAGCATTATAGTTTGTAAATGAAACTAGTAGAACTACCTCGTTCAGTAACTTTGTTATCTCCCATAAAATCTATTTTCACTACCTTTAGAATGAACATTTAACTACTGAGATCACCTTCCTCATTAAAGCATAAATCAGTTTCTATTTACAAAATAAGATATTAGATGATCACAAAGTTAAGGATGATTATTATCTGTTAGACGTTAATAATTTCTTTAACAATACGGTTTGTTTTCAGAATTATGCACAATTTTCGGGAATTTAAAATGATCAAAATAACTGATTGACATAATTCTATTAGGTAGTATGAACCATTCAATCCTCTTCCATCTTTTCATTTACATGTCTTCTAAGAAAACATAACATTGGTACATCAAAATAGGCACATGCAATAAGAAACGCTATAGATTCACCATAGTTTATCTAACACAGACACACACACATATATATATAAAACAACTTACAAGGGCATAAAAACGCTAGTTGACTTTGCTCTTGAAATACACATCTAGTAAGCATTTTTAAGCCAAGTACTTGTAATGACATGTATTACTAATATTATTATTATTAATAATACTATTAAATGGCTTTCATAAATACACAGATTCTCAATCGTTTTTAACCGACAAAATCGTAATCTATCTTGAATAACATTTTTACTTGGGTTTTTTTCTAAGTAAATAGTCTTCTAAACGCTTCAACTAATCGTCATGACTTTTAGATGAATACTTAAGAAAACTAAAAAAAATTTTTATTTTACTAACAGTGATATTTATTCAGAGATTTGTTTCTTCTTTTGATACAATCAACGGTAAATTAATCTTTGGTAACTACATAGAGTTTGTTTCAAATGGTATTAAATGTGTATCTAATTTATATCTGATGAATTTTGTGGATATTATTGTAATTTCAATGGTTAAGATCATGAGTCAGTTGAAGGTAGACCGTCATGGAAAACCTGGAAGCACTGGACGGCCGTTTCGTCCTATTGTGGGACTATTCAGCGGTGCGCATGCACGATCCTGCACCACGCGTGATTTGAACTCAGGACCTACTGGTTTCGCGTGCGAGCCACTACACCACTGACCCGGCATCCAACTGTGTTAATGTCTAATTATCATTGAAAAATACAAAACGATAGTAGTCTTGTCAAAACTGTGATCTTATATAAGTAATAAGTTTCGACAAATTATTCAAGTATAGTTTTCTGATTGTATCTTCGGATTGTAATAAAAAACATCGTTTCAATCATTTCGTGCGTTTTGTCGATTATAATTGATGATATAAAAAAGAAAAAAAATTCAATCAGCAACAATGATTGTTAGAATCAAAACAAGAATGTAAATTCTTTAGAATAAGCACTAAAATTATAAAATTCATCATGTTTAGCATGGAACTCGGGCTAAACTGTTTTGCAATACAATGGGAGATAGCACACTTAAAACAGACATATTTTGCATAAATCACTGAATAAACTTTGAAATTTTTGTGAAACTTGTCAAAAGTGGTTGAATTTCATAACTCATAGGTCCCAATTCACTTGAAAACAATTCATCACTGTTAGAAACTTTACCTAAGAACTGGTTATAGGAATGTTATACTGGAGAGTTTATAAGTGAAATTATGTAACTGTTCAATATCAATACCTTCGAACAACTGAAACTCAAAACGGTGAGACTATAATTTATGGACGACCTTTGAGCGACACTGAAGTGATCCTGAGGGTGGACACCTACTGATTAGGACTAAATGAGGGTTATAGAGCTGTTAGAATTCTCATTTATAGTTGATGATTAGATTTAAAAATTAGATTTAGGGTTTTCATCACAAACTGACATTAGCTATAATGCTAAAACTCTATTTAGCCAAATGTATGGATGAATTTCACACCAAAATTCGTGGCTCGTTATCTTATATCTGATTGGTTTGTTCATAAATTATAGTCTCGCCCTTAAAATTTTGTAAGATGTGAAATCTCAGTGTGTCATTCAGTAGTTCAACTTCAACCTACAACATTATATATGCATATCAATGTAAATAATTGATGTAAAAGGATTTTTTTTACAACAATTGACAACAAATACATCAATCAGTTATTTCATCAATCTAACAGTCATTTAATAGTCTGTAATAAAACATACTTGGAAAACCTGTTCAATACGATCATTATTAGATTCAATTTCAATTTCAAGTACGCGATGTTGTGTATATTGTTTACTGACGAATACTTTGTATGGTACCAATGAACCCATATTTGATAGTTTACCTGCCTGATCGTATTCTTCAACAAGTTCTTTCTTTTCTATAAGCCATTCTTGGAGCTAAATGAAAAATGTTTATATACAGTAAATTAATAAACATACACCCAGGACAGAGTGGGTTGGAGAATGCTGGTCGGCGGCTTATGCTCCATTGGGAGTAACAGGCGTAAGTAAGTAATAAACATACCAAAAATAACGATTGACTAAACATAAGCACTCTTTATCCTTCTATTCCTGTATAATGTCTCAGATATCAGTTACCAAATAATTTTGACAGGCGAATAAATAAAATATTGTCACGAAATACTTTTAACATGCGTACAAATGAAAATAGCTCGTAAATAGCTGGTTGTTGATTCCGATTAAGTTATATAGTGTAATAAAAAATCATTTCCTGAAAAACTTGGATATTTTTGGTTAGTAACTCATGTTAATTCAGAATCGTAAACCACTGACTAACAGCTTGGTATGCCTAAGATGATGAGTTCTCTCATGAAGATGTTAACGAATTCAGTTGGACAATATTGATGAGTTCAATATTAGGACAAAAAGCTTTTCAGTGATTTCCATTTTGTTAAATGTATGTCTAGATAAAATCAGTAAACGATTCACTTGAATCCAAATAAAAGTGAGTATTTACTTCGTTCTAACTCTTAAAGTGTTCCACCTAAAAGCGACTAAATTGTTTGCGTTGTCAGAGACAAAAAAATATATAAAACCAAAAATCTACTGAGAAATATACTCAATGAACATCGTAATTAAAATTTCCAGAAACAATCAATAAATTAAAGCTTATCATCATTATCTTTTATCTAAATGAATTGAAAAGAAAAGGGGAAATTTTTTTGAGATGGGGGGGGGAATAACTCATTATTATTAAAGAGATTAACTTTCAGTTTTCATAGAAACATCAAGTTCATTTAATTCATAATGAATGATAATTGTTATCAGTGATTTTTCAGACTATTCAATTAACATCATCATTAACAGTCATTTGATCCTATGAATCGTTATAAATAGTTTCTATTACAAATAAATTGAATTTTCATGCTTCCTTGTAATACAAATGATGATGATAAATGAATAGAGAATGAGTATAGAATAATGATAACATGAATAAGATTGTTAGATAACACGAAATAATAAACAAACATCATTTTATTTTGACCTTAAAAGTTTTGAATTTCTGTGATAATGCTTGCCATTTTATTGTATATAACTTTTTTGTATCTTCATAGATGTGACATTATTCATAGATGTTTGTATGGGGATATATGCACCTATCTGTCTAAATCGAATATCATATTCATTGGTAGCATTGGTAGCATAAACTGAAATACATACTTTCGGCATATCGTATCACCAATTGTTTTACACAAGCACAAATGATCCATATAAATAAAAAGTGGACAAACTAGTTATATTATATTAATTACTTCCAAAAGACAGGTCATTAAATTGACAAACGTACAAATTGTCCCATAAATTTCCCTCAATTAAGTTTATCCTCTTTCATGCCAAATCACTTTATTCATTATGACATAAGAGTAAAGAAGTGAAAAGAAACTCATTCCTACATTAATGAACTTAGAAATTTTCCCCCTTCATTGTAAATAAGATTGAATAAACATCATCATTTGTTTTTGATATACAACATATATTTTGACATTGGGATAATTTTGAAAAGTTTATATTTACACATTTAATTTATTCACCAAAAAGAAGAAATTCTGATTTATATGTATAATTGAAATTTGATCTGTAAATATTCTAGACAAAAGAAAACATTCGTTCCGACGAGATCCAGAAGTAAACAACTGGAATGTTGACGTTTATTAGCTTTAGTCTCGTATATTAGTATGTTGGGATGAGACAATAATTTATGGATGACCTTTGAGAGACGCTATGGTCACTATGGTCACCTTGAGAGTATCCACCTGATAATTAGGACCAAATGAGGGTTGATAAATTAGGGTTTTAATCACGAACTGACATCAGCTGTAATGCTAAAACTCTATTTAACCAAATGGATGGATGAATTTCCTTCCAAAATCCATGATTTGTATATTGGTTTAATTTAGACAAACAGCCAGCGTAAAATGCCTTTGAATAAGAAGAATATTTATGCGGTATGTGCTACTAATGTTAACAGATAAGTCTGGTATTAGCTTAAGAAAGATCGAAGAAAGTAAATGTGAACAGAGAATGATTGGCGTGGAAATGACGGAACAATCAAGTCTGAGACATTTGATTGACATTTTGCAAATGAAGTATTTACTGTATAGTTCTCATATTTTAGTAATATATTCTGTAATGTTGTATTAAAATACGTTAGATTCTCCCGACTTGTATTCTCGTTCACTACATTTATACTGTGAAATTATTTTATTTATTAAGAATAAAGTTTCATATAATCATAACGAAATAATCTTTACTTTTATTTGTACTAGTTAGATCAATTATTGTCAGAATGGGTTTTGTGGAGATTTTTAGAAATTTCACAGATTGAAATCATGAGTCAATTGAAGCTAGATCACCATGGAAAACCTGGAAGCACTGGACGACCGTTTCGTTCTAGCATGGGACTCCTCAGCAGTGCGCATCCAGGATTCCACATCCCGTGGGATTCGAACCCAGAACCTACTGGTTTCGCAAGCGATCACTTTATCATTAGACCACTGAGCTGGCATCCAACAGTGTTAATGTCTAACTTCAACCAATCCAAGAATTTGTGCCACTGTACGCCATTGTCTTCAGTGATCTGATATCTCACAACAGACCTGGTTGAACTCCACTGGTAACGACTTCTTACTAGAACTCCAGGAGCATCACCTGAAGTCAGTCACTGAATAAATTATTGTCAAATAAATTTCTATAGATTAACAATCAAAAACAAGAATACATTAATACATTAGGTACATTAGGTACGAAAGGTTGTAAGTACATGATATAGAATGAATTTGCTTCATTTTCCGGTATTTGTTATTCAGAAGAAGGATTTGAATGTTTTGCTGATCGCTTAACTATTCAGTAAATAACTTTCTTAAAAACATCATCCACTGGAATCTAATTTCAAATTAACCAGCTGAACATAACTAACATAATATTGTTAACTTGTCTTTTTGGATTAGTTATAAGACATGAAACATATTAAATAATATAAGTGCTACATAACATTCGATTAATAACAATGATTTATTTACAACTAGCATAATTCCCATGATACATACCGTTTGAATTTGTTGCATATTCTCTCGAAGTGCTATTAAATCTTTAGTTGAATCCACTAGTGTACGAGCTTCATCAAGTAGTGTGACATATCTAAAATAAGATGTAAAAATACAGTTGATCTGATAAAGACCAATGAATTGCAAATATTTAGACTCAAGTTATATGGACCTTTGTTCATACTGCTGGATGGCATATTAAAGAAATTAACTAGTCGAGATGCTAGTCAGCAAGAAACACTGAACCAAGGTTTCGTGGCACACGATACTTGTCAGAAGGGCTTAGCTGTACTCTTGAGGGATCTAATGGTCTTTGACGGAGTCGATCTCCTGTCACCCAGCTTCATAGTCGATGTTATCAATGAGCTGTCCGGGTCACGACTGACTTCCTGTAGGACTGAGTTTTATTTAAAATTGGTTGACCATTGTGTGGTGACCATTGTCGTGTGTCAAGTCCTTCCTACTGCAGATCGAATTCTATAGATCAAGTTCCAATGCAGTCACTAATCTAAGTATCTCCACATCGAGTGCACTATATTGAGGTCAAACGTGGCATGGATATCTCGTTGTTAACGTCTCTAACTGTGAAGCTGTGTGACAGAAGATTGAATCCTTCAGGCAACACCAGTTGTCTCCTGATTACAGGTACATCTTGTTGTCGAGTGCCAAACAACATGAAACCTAGGTTCAGTGATCAATTAGTTGTAAACTCACTAATTATCGAAGTTTGATGATAAACATTTTCTGAATTGAATAAATTATAATTTCATCGTAAATGGATAATTCCAACTTCCTAGATTCGTATGAATAACGTGCTTTGTTAAGTTGACAATTATGTTGTTTGTATTTGGTTATATTAGACAGTTAAATGTCATAAAAGACTTGTTCATCTTATCCAAGCGCAAACAAATACTAAAGTATTAATGCAGGCCATGCTGCATTTATTCTGATGATGAATCTAATAAAGTCATCTAACTTATGAACCTATTCAAGATAACAATGAATATTAATTATTTGAATATTAGCAATTTTTAACCTATAAACAATCCTGAATTCACATAGTATAATTTTTAACGATGTATTTGCCATAAACCTGACCGGTTTTTGGATCATTAGTTTGAATATATATAACTGTATTACATGGAAAGAATTTATTGGAAACAATATTCTTGATTCATATATTAATGTTGGAGGTGTTTAAACAGTTGGGATCAAGTTCCGCTGAAATCTAATTGAAAAATCTATATTACTATCAGAAATACATGTATCAAATCAGTAAGTTTAGATTGAAGCAACTATAGGAGGTTATAAGCAAAGATGGATAGTGGATAGCAGTGAAATCGAAGACGCACATTTTGTCCTATATGGGACTCGTCGTCAGCTGGATATACCTGCATCTCAAAGTTGATGTTCATTCTGTAACTCGAACCCAGTACCGTTCGCTTCAAACGTTATCGTATTATCTACTTAGCCACTTGCTTGTACAATCGGGTGAAGTGTAAATTTACTTGGTATTGTTTACTTGAATCTTCCCAGCAGCTTAGTGGATAACGTGATGATATATTAAGCGGATACATTCAGCTGACGAGTCCGAAATAGGACGAAATGCACGTCCTGAATTCCACTGCTAGCCACTATCAATCTTTGCCTATAATGCTCGTAAATTAAGGTAATATAGAGGCAATACGCACAAGATGCACATATGCCAACAAGTGATTGATCAAGTGCAGTCCTAAACAACAAAGGGAAGATACAAGCAAACAACACCGAATGAATTTATAAGAGGTTATGTTTGATTGATTTACACTGTCAAAACTTTTTAACATTTCTTGGTGTTAATTCTGCATTTTTTCTTCTATACAGAATACTATATTCTCCTATTTGTTATTATTAATTTCCATTTATAATCAATATCATTAATAATACTAATAACATTAGTTTTTTCCCCAAATATTTTTCCCTCACCAACTTAATTTTCACGATTGTAAGTCCGCTGAATTCATTTATCCTACTGCAATAAAATTGTTCTCTTTTAATTTTAAAATAATAAACTACTATACACATAGAAAATATAATATAAATTATATGACTTCGAGATGGTGGAGATTTGTAGCTCAGGTGGATGATGCACCTCGATGATCGAGGTGCATAGAACAAGCTGTGAAACACATATGGAGAAATTCGAACACTTCACTTTTACCTGAAGTTTGTGCCGATGATGTCATTCAGAAGAACGATGAAAGCTCCACGACCAAACCATCCAGCTCAGAGAACGAAACTCCACCAAAAACTATATGACTTCACTATTATTCCATTTAGAAATAAATCAGTTTATTCATTATCAAGCTTACATGTTACTTACATTTTATACCGACTATTGCAAAAGAATAATTCTAGATGTAAAATTGTAAAATATAGAGTGTGAAATTTACTCAAAGACCTTTTCGCTTTATAAACACAATTCTATTTACAATTAAAATCACATCAGTAAGCGAAATAAATGTACTGATCTAATCTATCTAATCCAATCTATCACTGTTCTATGCTTTCAACGTTTAGCATATAAATACCGTTGTTACAGCATTAAAACCAGTAATATCCTATTGTGGGACTCCTCAGCATTGCGCACCCACGACCCCGCTCGCGGGATTCGAACTCAGGGCCTTCGATCTCGCGCGCGAACGCTTAACTTACTGGACCACTGAGCCGGCATCCAATGGTGTTAATGTCTAACACCAACCAATCCATGAAATTGCGCGACCAACTGAGTTAGATACCTGTCTCTATCCGACATGGATTAGCTCCACTGGTCACGGCTTCTCACTAGAACTCCGAGAATCCCCTCGCGAAGCTAGTCACTAGTGAGCACATGTTAATTACTAGTATAGAGGTTGTGGAGATTATTAAGTTTTTGGTTGAGACCATGAACCGATTGATTGAGGAGTCCTACAATAGGACGAAACGACCGTACAGTGCTTCCAGGTTTTCAAAGGTGGTCAAACATCAATCGGTTAATGATCTCAATCAAGTAAAACTTAATAATCTTCACAACCCCTATGCTTGTAAAAAGTTTACTATTGTTTATTGACACAAGTACATAGAAGTAAACAAGTGATTAATCATAAAAAATAAAATCTGTTTATATTCAGAATTAACAATCAAGTAAAATCCATGATGTTGGTTTTACCGATAAAAATAGTAATAATATAATTATTTATGAAAGATGACACCCTAGAGACCAATTATAACTTTTCCTCATTACTGACAACAAACTAAAAATGCTTATTTATTGAGTAAGTGTTTGTATACAAGTTGTCAATGAAAATAGTCAATCGGTTAATGAAGATCATAAAACAATTGAAAAATGAATCAATTTTGAATAAATAAACTAAAACTTTAGTTTCTCTTGTTTTAGTTTAATTATGAGCAATAGATTGTTTACCATAAAAGGAAAGTGTAAATAAACTATTCTTTTGTTTCTAGGATAATGAAAAACAGAATTTTTTTGAATGACATTGTTTTAGGGTTATTCTAAGCATTTTATTTTTGTGGGTATGTGTGTGTGTGTGTGTTTAGTCGGACAGTTAGTGATACATCTAGAAAATAATAAATGCCGATATATATCTGAAATAAACAAAAGAAAATAAAAACAATTCTCCCCTAGAAACAATAAAAAGAAGAAGCTAGAAATAGGGTGAGAAGTAATGAAAAAAAAAAAAACAAGAATACCAAGATGAAATGACAAAAGATCTTGATAACATTTCTAATCAAGTGCTCAATGCAAACACAAACACACAAAATTGTTGAAGATAATTCAACTTTATATTAAACACACAAAACACCCCTTAATAGAGAATGAATCAAGTTTTAAATGGTTAAATAAAATATATATCTACTTATTAATTCATTATTGACAAAATTATTCTATTCAGATAATCTAAATGTAAGGGGTATTGTCCAATATTAAGGTATAGTGGTTAGATAAAGTTATGTGTTGATAATACAAGACATATCTGTTTCTATTTTCTGTTGGAGACAAAAAACAAATGTAAATAATATGTAAATCATATGAGACACTTTAGTTATTACTTCAGTAAGCAACAATCATTAAATATTCTAAAATTGTAACATGATTAAGTTTATAATTTTTCCATGATTAGTTGATAAATTGATGATTTAAAAGTTATAGCAAAGATTAACCTCTTTCAACTTCTGTCAAAAATCATTTATGCATCAATCACTTGTTCACCTTAGCAACATCTAATTTTCCCATGAATAATAACTTTTGACTTTGAGTTAATCTGATACAAAGTCATAATAGTATGTATATGTATTTTTCAAAAAAAACACAACCTAAACATCGAAAATATCATTGATTACGAATATTGTGGGAGGGAGAACAAGTGCCATTGACAGACTGGAAAGAAGAACACCTCATGAAGATACCAATGAAAGATCTGAGATGTGAGAAATATAGAGGCATCACAATACTATCGGTACCAGGAAAGGTTTTCAATAGTGTTGCTAAACTAGATGAAAAATCCGATGTCAACAGACTGAATTACGTAAGGATCGGTCGTGCACAGATCGAATTGTGACACTATGGATCATCGTTGAACGGTCAATTGGGTGGAAATCGTCAGTATTCATCAACTTCCTTGATTACGAGAAGGCGTTTGACAATGTGGATAGGAGAACGTTATGGAAACTTCTTCGACACTGTGGTGTACCTGAAAAAATCGTCAACATCATACGGAATTGATACGACGAACTACAGTGCAAAGTTGTAAATGCAGAACACCTGGCAGACACATTCGAAGTGAAGACTGGAGTCAGACAGAGAAGCTTACTCTTTCCCTTCCTATTTCTTCTGTTGGTTGACTAGATTATGAAGACCTCCACATCTGAGGTGAAGCATGGAATGCAATGTATAGATTAGAAACAAATAGACGATTTAGATTTCACAGATGGCTTGACCCTTCGATCACACACACATGAACAAATGCATGTCAAGACAAATTGTGTTGCAGCAGACTCTGCATCAGAAGGCCTCAATATGCACGAGGGAAAAAGCAAGATCCTCAAACACAACACGAAGAACACCAACCTAATCACACTTGATAGAGAAGCTCTGGAAGAGGTGCAGACTTTCACGTACCTGGCTGATCAGCATCATTGATGAACGTGGAGATTCTGATACAGACGTAAAATCAAGGATTGGCAAAGCAACCGAGGCATTACTGCAATTGAAGAATATATGGAACTCAAAACAACTGTCGACCGATATCAATGTGTGAGTCTTCAATACGAATGTCGAGACAGTTCTATTGTAAAGAGTCGGAACTTGAAGAACTACCACAACCACCAAAAAAATGTACAAGTGTTTCTTAACGATTGTCTGCCCAAGATACTTAATGTTCGTTTGCTGATTATCATCAGAAATAGCCTACTGAGAAAGAGAACGAATCAGCTTCCAAATGAAGGGAAATGAGGGAAAGACTTTGGAGGTAGGATATATATTGAGGAAATCATCAAACTCCTGATAAAGAAAAGCATCTATGTACAACAGTTGGTAAGTAGTTTTATGTTCAGAACCCAGCATATTTGTTTTGTACACATTATTTGAGCCCAAAATTCATCTTCTTTTCTTACGTTTGCAGTTTTCAAGCTACACAAATTCGTCGAACTGTCATAAATGATAATATTTTAGATGTAATTAATCAGACTAGCTTTTCCACAGTTACTATAAGAAAATGTCTGTCCATTGTACGGATTAAGAAAATCATTGAATGAAACCTGTCAAGAAGTATCTTCTAGCCTTCACACATTACTTAATAGGTCAATCGATTGTTGGTGCTAAAATCCTCAGCCTTTAGTCTATCAACACTAAGCACGTTTCCGGGTTTCACGTTACTTATCAAATGCAGCTGCACCCGTTTATCTCAGTTGATATCTACTGTTCAAGAATTTAGATAAACACTTTTGATTTCAGGATTTCTAGTTTATCTAAAATAAATCAATAATGGGGATAATTATTGAAAACTTTGTCTAAACCTCAAAACTACAACCCATGAATGTGGTAAACAGATTCAACTTCTGAAAAGTATTATTACTAACCTGTTTTTGATAAAAAAAATTTTATTTTGTATTTTTTCCATTGAATATACTTTATCTATAATGAGTTGATTCCCGGTATCACATAAATGATTCAATGATTCATTAACATTTATTAAACATTGAACAATTTCATTTTGAGATTTCAACGAAGTAAGAATATCGGCCGTATTCTTTTGTTTCTAAATGAAATTCAATGAGAAGATATAAGAATGATCAGAAATGATTTCAGTATTCATTGAAGTTTGTTACGCAAAACATTGTCATTATTCACATAGAGTTAATATTACGAAATAAGAAAGTTTTATTGTTAACCAAATACTTTTGTTAGTTGTTAAATACCATGGAAAACCTAGAAGCACTGGAAGGCCGTTCAGTCTTGATGTGGGACTTCTCAGTAGTGCGCGAGATTCGAACTCAGGTCCAATCAGTCTCGCGTTCTAGCGCTTAGCCTTTATACCACTGAGTCTAGCTTCAGTTGGCTCATGCATTCAACTATTAAGATACTATAATATCAGCAAAACCCCTATCTGATTAAAACTTAAATAGTTTAATTATTCAAAGATCCTCATATTAAAAGACTAATATTTGAACGAAGAATATTCTTTTCGACAAATTCTCTTCATGTTCTACAATTTTTATATCCAAATTAATAATCCGAAAAGTGACCAGGTTAAGGGCAAAGTGCGATTAGATTGACAAAACGGGTACCATTTTAGATGACAAATTAAAATTTCAAAAAATAACTGACCAGAAAGTTCTTAATAATAAGATAGAGAATGAGCTAAACAGATCTTTGAAGAAGCTCAGGGACCAACAGACTATTTGGTTGGGTTTATATGAAATAATTAAACCAGTGGGCACCTATCTGCCAAGATTGTATGGATTGATAAAGGTAGACAAATCAGGGATCCCACTAAAACCAATTTTAGATATGCATAACTCTCCTTATCATACCATAGCTAAATGGTTTGTAACTATATTGAAACGTCTCCATAGAAAACTTGTAAAACTTAATGTTAAGTATGTATTCCAACTTGTTGACAAGATCAGAAATGCAACATCATTATTCACAAATGTTCCACTCACAGAGACCGTAGGATATACATGTGAACAATTGAATGGAAATGAAATTGAAACTAAAGTTCTTATCAATGTCGTTAAAGAGTTATTACTGAGATGCACCATGAATGTAAATTCCATGTTCCACGGATAAATAGATAAATACACGGATGGTGTTGTGATGGGTTCACCATTAAGCCTTATGCTAGGTGGCATTTTTCTAGCCAAACTAGAAAACGGTCCACTCAAAAAGATTATCCAAAAATTCACATTTTACCGTCGATATATGGATGATACGTTCATCATTTGAAAAGATAATCCATCACAGCAAGAGGTTCTTAGGCAGTTTAATTAAGTGTATCCAAATATTCAGTTTACATCTGAAGAGAGTATTGGTAGATTAGCCTTTTTGGACGTACTCTCAACTACGAAAGCTGATGAATCATTAAAAAGGAATTTAAACAGGAAAAATGCCTGGACAGGGCAGTGCACACATTTCCTTAGCTTTGTACCTCCGCAGTACAGAAGAAACCTGATCACAACTATTAGTTACTGAACACGCACTATGTTCTACGAATATAGTTGAAAAAGAGCTAAAAACGATGCGTAATACTCTTAGGGAGAACGGATACCTTAGAAAGTTTATAATTAAATATATGTTCACGAAGGTGAGACTAGGCGAAATACGAACGGTGAGTAAGAAATGCCTTTTCATGCTTCTACAATTCAGAGGGGATTCGGCAGTGAAATATTAACTCAGAGATTACGGAAAACAATCCAAAAATCTTTTAACGCCCGAGAACTACGATTAGTATTTCCTACGCTCACAATGGTGACGTAAAAGCTAAAGGATGAATTACTTAGAATGATCATTTCATTTTGTATTTATCAGTTCGACTGCTCCTGTAGAGCGGGTTACATTGGTCGAAGTTCTAGGAATTTGCATTTTCTTGCTCGTGAACAGCTCGATATAGCCCCATTTAGTACAAATTGGTCATAGTGCCAGTATAAACCAATCCTTTGCAATTATTTATTGGGTAAGTAGTGTTTTGCCAAAGCTTGTCAGACTTAAAGTCCTTCAAACGGTTGAAGCAGTAGCCAACCGGATTAAGAGACCGGAATTGTGCGTACAAAAGAAATATCTTCAATCGCTTCTCCTCCCCTGACCAACATCAACGCCATTCAATCAACGGTAATCTTAACTATTGAATAACCTAATTTGACTATTGTACTTGCGACCTTTCGTAGTCGAATGTAATTGTATCTGTTATCTTTATTCACAAATCTTTGAATTATTATTATTACTATTGGTTAAACATCATTATTAATCTCCGCAACACATGAATCATTTACTTCTCACTCATCCCACTTTATAATGTCTCTCTAATAAATTTTTTACACAATATAGTCTTCCATTAAACATTTGATCGAATTGGAATTGCACTATTATTTCTCTCTCACCTTATTTGACCCATATTTATTCGGGTCATGGATCATAAATTTCACGTAACATATATGGAGGTTCAAGTTAACATTCCATATATATATGTGCCATATTAACATGAACAATTTTATTCTTTTTTCACCGGTTGAAATCATGAGTGAATTGAAGCTAGACCACGATGGAAAACCTGGAAGCACTGGACGGCCGTTTCGTCCTAGTATGGGACTCCTCAGCAGTGCGCATCCACGATCCCGCCTCGCGCAGGATTCTATTCTGTTTTGTTTAATTGTCCTAAAATCACAAGGTATAACACTTTAAACTATGTACTTTACCCTTAACCTGATCATTTTTCGGATTATTCATTTAGTTATATAATTGTAGAACCTGTAGAGAATTTATTGAAAAGAATATTCAGTCTTCAGTCTTCAGTAATAAGGATAGTGGGTTAGTGAACATGTGTTAATCCTGACAGATTGCCTTCCAGTGAAGGTCCAGTTTCTCCTTGAAAATATTCACTGATGGGGCTGATACCACTTGTTCGGGTAAGGCGTTCCAATCATTGACTACTCGATGAGAAAATCGGGACCCCACTTTAAGTTTATTAGATCGCGGTTCATGAACCTTCTTGCTATGACCTCGGAGGGAGCAAAAAGATAAGATATATTAACACCCAAATCATAATTAAAGATACGAAATGCCAGTATAAGGTCACCTCGCGTCTTACAATACAACAAGGGGAAAACGTTTAGGCGTTTTAAACCCTCATCATAAGGAAGTTTAGTTAGACCCTTCACTAATTTCGTTCCCACACGCTGGAAACGCTCAAGTGAGTTAGTATCCTTTACTAGACATGGACTAGCTGCTTGGATACAGTACTCTAAATGTCGTCTTACGTAGGTGGGATATAAAATTCCAAACATTTCCTCGTCAAAAGATTTGAACGCACGGCGAAGTCTTTAAAAAAAAACTTAATTAGTCCACTTAGTAATTAGGCATCGAGACAATCACTGATTCGTATTATATAATAAATCTGTATTTTCTATTGAATGAAATTTAATCTACTTTCTTTTTAAGCGATTGTTTAAATAAACAATAGTCAAGTGTTATTTATGAATTTAAACAATAAAAACAAAACAAAACAAAAACAAATGTAATTTTACTTCAATAAACATTCAACAGTTATAATAATAATAATAATAATAATAATAATAATAATAATAATAATAATCATGTGCTGGTTGAAATCATGAGTGAATTGAAGCTAGACCACCATGGAAAACCTGGAAGCACTGGACGGCCGTTTCGTAGTAGCAGTGCTCACCCACTATTCCGCACCCCGCGAGATTCGGACCCAGGACCTATCAGTCTCGTACCAGGCGCCTAACCAACTAGACCACTGAGACGGCATCCAACAATGTTAATGTCTAACGTCTGAATACTTCAACTTATGTTTTGTTTTAATACTTGATCATCTAACATTTGAATACTTTTTTTTGAAAAATAAAAACACACAACTAAGAACGAAAATAAACAGAGATAAACACAATGATTTAATGGCTGATAACATTTTAAATATTCAAATCAGTTTCACCCTATTTTCTCTTGTTTTTTTTTCAAGAAACGAGATACAGTCGAACCGTTTGTTTTTTTGTTTTTTTCTAATTTCACATCAAGTAATCAATATTCATGATAAATGTCACCAAGTTTGAATGATTCAAAGAAATTTCCCTAATATTCATCAATATATATATATCATGAATTTATTCTACTTTCTGATTATAGAGTCATTTAGAAATCATCCAATTCAAAGTTTCATATCATGGACAAATGTTTGTTAGGGGAATAGTGACAACGGTAGATACTATAAAGTAGCCTTCTCCCTGTTTAAGACTTGTTAGGTGGTCTGCAATCATAACTTTACAAGTATCAGATGATCTTTACAACGAGGATTTAAGTTTCAGTACTTCGAGTTGACATTCAGTAGTTAAGGTTTCTAATCTCCAAGAAATAGCTATTGCGATTGGTGATATTGTCTCACTAATTTGACAACGGCTTCTTAATAGAACTCAATGAGATACCTCAAAAATTTATCCACTTGTATTCATACAATAATAAGTGAAATTAATGGTGTTTATTAAGAACTCAGTAAACAGATTGAGTTGTTTTTGAGTAGATTTCTTCAAGCTGAAGATATATTAACTGGAGTCCATTAAAACTCATTAACAAGATATTTGTGCGGTTTTGAAGAAACCTTTAGGCTTTGCAAGTCTCAAATGAATTTATCCACGTATCAAAATTTGGGACAAAAACAGCAAATGACTGGAATCACAAGCGACTTCAAGCATAACTACATTAGCTACAATAATTCGCGTGATACTTAGTTAATTCTAGAAGAATTGCTACATGCTACGAATTAGCTATTTAACGTTTTGTGAGGATTGTAAGTTCCGATACTAAATCATAGTCAACTGATCAACTCACTGGAATTGAAAATAACAGTCACACATTTCCTACAAATATGTTTAAAAATATCATAGTCGCTCTGATACATGATTGGGTATTTAAATTTTATCCTATTATCTCAAGTTCCATTTATAGTGTTCTTACGATCAGAAGGAATATGAATTTGATTCTTTTCAGCTTTGAATATTTCTAGAACTGAAAAATAATCCACAACATGAACTAGTTTCACATAAAATGGTTCTCATACGCATTTAATAGATCTTCCAATCAACACAAACTTAAGTGTTTAAGGAATAATAAAATTAAGAGAAAATTTAATCGTGAACTGAATCGAATGTCTTGCTCAGAAAACTGTTGACATCTTCTTTCTGTTTTATTTTAATACAGAATTTCCTCAACTTTTCCTAGACATTTATCCATACTTTCTTAATTTTTGACAATTTTGCCTTTTGATTAGTTCTCGGCAATAATCGGATCAACCGATTGGGTTGATCGTTGAATTTACTTGGATTTCATTCTATAAGATGCTCACAAGTATTCTTTCCTTCTTACGACTTCCCCGTATTTGGTGCCTGACTGATCGTTTAAAATTGGACACGCATTGTATTACATTTCCAGACACCTTAAAATAGTTCTGTTCTTATATTTATTTCTGAGACATAAATATATATCGTAATAATTGACAGATCCAAGTCTAAAATACTTCTGTTTTTTCACTTTGCACAATAGTTTCATATAATACTTGACGAATTTAAGACATCTGACCAAATAATTATAACAGAATACTATTTATTAGGTATCATATAATAACTGGTCTGAATCTGTTTCATGAAAACTTTCTGTTTCAAATCGAATCTTAAAATTGTATTATTCCACAAGTTCCATATACATGATCGCTATATACCAGTATAGGGTTCCGAAGATTGTTGAGTTTCAATCAATATCACAAATGGATCAGTGTCGGACCACTACTGGAAACCTGGAGGCACTAGACGGCCTTGTTCGTCCTAGTACGGAACTCTTCATCAGTGCGCATACAAGATCCCGCACGTAGGACTCTAACCCAGAGTCTTCGTTCTCACGGGCGAACACTTAACTTTTAGACTACAGAGCCGGCATCCAACAGTGTTATTGTGGATGCGCACTGCTGAGGAGTCCCATACTAGGACCAGACGGCCATCTAATACTTCTAGGTTTTTAATGGTGTTCTAACATTCATCTATTCATGATACCAAATGAATCTCTATATACGTTAAAAATCAACTCAGCAAACATCATTTATTCAATACTATCTAATGAAATTACTCTCTTTATTATCATTAAAAAGCCAATGAATTAAGTTTCAGTTTCTTTTCTTTTTTTTTGAAACCAGTTAACTAAAATCAACATGGTACATTCTGTCTCTTTCTATCTTTCTATCTTTCACATTGTTTTTGTCACTGTAATATGATGCACAATTTATTCAGTAATATTTGTTTATACCGAGACACAAAATTAGTTCGTTTGTTTTATTTTTAACTTTATGACCATTTTCTATAAAGTCGAAACAAAGAAAAAGCATAACAAATGTCACTTCTCATTATTATCATGGTACAATTGCTTTTACTTTTCAAATCTGTCACTAAGACTGAAGTGATGTAATATGTATGTACTGATTTTTCAAGTGTTTTCTTTGATTTGTGTATTGTTTATCAAATTCTTAAAAAAGTTCTATACTAATGACGTAAATCTTTCCTATTTTATATTTTCTAACTATGGTCATTATGAACAATGAACCTCTTTTTCTTATTCATTTATATTATATATATATATATATATATATATATATATATATATATATATCGAATATGAATAACAGTGATATATATTGTATGTATAACTCCCCCTGAAGTCCCTCCGGGGGCTACAGCCGGTCCCAAGCCCGGATGAAGGAGGAGGGTTGGGCATGGGGTTGGCGAACACATCCCGTCAGCGGCCTATGCTCCATTAGGAGTAACAGGCGTAAGTAAGTATATTGTATGTATGAAGTGGAATTGTTTTGGTTTTCATTTAAAAGTTAGAGAAAATAAAAAAAAACTTTTTACGTTTCCCTTCTTCACAATTACTATTGAATCTATTCTGTTCTTATCATTTTCACTTTGAAAGTATCCATCATAAGTAAACTGTGCAAATATTTCTTCGATTTCACAACAACAACAAGACATTTTTGTAATTGTTAAGAAGTAGAAGTTGAAAACTGTGATCAGATTTCCTTAGTTTAACATTATTTTGATCAGTGTCTTATTTTACCGATAAACAACTTTAATCATGATTATTATTTACAGTGACATTCAGTATGATCATATTTGAAACCACATGAACTAGAATCCATTTTTCGGTGAGAGGTACAATTGCATGCAAATGATGAATGGATCATCAAAAAAGAGAAAAGAAAGAAGCTATGAAACAATCTGTCAATCATAATTCTTCATTATTACCTAATAATTCAGATCTTAATCATGTCATAATATCTACAAATCTAACAAACATTCATATTTGCTTCCTCGCTCCATCCTTCACTCCCTCACTTGCTCACTTTGAAGTTGATATTTTATAAAATATTGACTAAAACAATGAACATATCAAATTGTTCATTTGATCTCATTCTTATAATCTTTGTGATATCCAAAGCAATATTTTTAATCCTAAAAGCACCGGACGGCCGTTTCGTCCTGGTATGGGACTCTTCAGAGGTGCACAACCACAATCCTGAACGGCCATCCATTGCTTTGAGGTTTTCCATGGTGGTCTAGCTTCATTTAACTCATAGTTTCAAACTGTGAAATTTCTAAAAATCTCCACAAAACTCATTTTGACAATATTTTAAATATTAAATGTGTTCCCGATATCTTTTTTCTATACCCCTAATTATTTATTATTTCATACAATCGGTTCATCATTAAAAATGTTGAACAAGACAGGTACTATATTTCACAATTTACTGAAATGAACCTTCTGTGACGACGGACCACGGGTGTTATACGCGGCATATCAAGAAATCAATTTTCAAGATATAACAGCTTCTTAACTGTTAAGTATTAAATTCTTCTGTCATTTTGACCATTCCCCATAATGAGATCAACCTCAAAAAAGTAACATTATTAATATTAGGAAAAGAATCACAAATAAATATATGAAAATTCAGATTTCGTTAGGGTTATCCTTTTAACTTGTGGGAATTACAAATGATTGAAATTATTGATCCAAGAGTTATGTAGAGTTAAAGAATCTTCAAAATACACTTTTAATTGCATATAGTTGTTCAGTTTGTTTGAGAAATGTCATAACTTATGATCTAGATATATAAAATATTTATCCTTAACTTTGGCTATGCCCATTGTGTCTGAATAAAAGTCAAACGGGAAATTATTTATTCTATCATTACCTGTATGATTCGAACCTGTAAAGGAATTAATACATAATAAATGTAAAATTTGTCCATGCAACACAACAGTCTCATAAACTATTTGCTTTTAAGGGGAGCAAGAACAAACATTGATGCAGAATAGTATGAATTCATATTATTTCGAGGTTTCTCGTCAGCTGCTTACAAACCAAAACCTCGAAATAATATGAATTTTATACTATTCTGCATCAATGTTTGTTCTTGCTCTATTTAAATTCATAAAGTGAACCAATTGCATGATATTTGCTTTTACTTGGCAGAAAATTAATCTTAATATTTGGCTATTATTACATATATTTTTGAGGCTTGAAAATGACTTCAATGTTTCAAAATGATGGAAAATGTTTCCAGTCGATTCCATCCATACATCTACAAGTATGATCAGTACCCGTTCATCATCATCGTCTTGGTTTGTACATCATTCATATGTTTACAATATCTTTGAGAATGTTTCGATGCTTTCTCCGCTTAATTTATACATGAATAAATAGTAATTTTCATTTTGTTAGCTATCAGTATGAATTTGTTTTCTAAATTTGAGCTAATAAGAATCATTGTCGATACTTTTGATGGAGTTTTGTTCTCTGAGCTGGATGGTTTGATCGTGGAGCCTTCATCGTTCGACTGAACGACATGATCAACACAAACTTCAGATAGAAGTGAAGTGTTCAAATTTCTCCATATGCGTTTCACAGCTTGTTCTGTACACCTTGACATTGATTGATTCTTATTGACCTAAAATTTGTCATTGTTTACTTCTTTGTTTTGGTTGTGTCCCCCATTGGGTGGAGGGGGAAGAACAAAACTTCATCAAAATCATCTAGCTGAGCTAAAAATCTTTTCCACCATCTCATTGTCAATACTATCCCAAGTAACCCGAAATTACACATAACATTGAATTTTCTAATGGAGCTTTGACGATGATATTATTGATAATGAAACACTTAGTTACTGTTGTTATTTAATTTAGAATGTAAACAAAAACATAGCAAAATACCTTGTAATCAATCGTTTTACATTTCGCGCTTTTTTGTTCAAAATACTTTATATCAACTCATAAAAATAGTAATTAATATTTGAGTACAACAAAGTAAACTGTCAATTCATTAATTACTTACTATGAGTTGATAATTCATTAGTTTACTTTCTTGTGTTGACAACAAAGTTTCAAATAAATGTGCATCGCGTAAAAATATCTTTTCAAAAAAAGAAAAAAAAAAGTGACGAAAGAATAAAATTTCAAGTTAGATTATATGAACATTGAAATTTTTTTTCATTTTGAACATCCTTCTCAGAATTAACCTTCTCAAATGAAAAATGATCCATCGTTATCATTTTTAATCATTTTAACAACTAGACAGTCAAAAACGACTAAATTAGATGTTTATCGTATTAAATCACAAATTGGCTGAAACTGAAAATATATACTCTCTTGTTGGTCTATATTTGACACATTGATATCAAGGCCTGAATGTCCTGAATTTGATGATTAACAAAGTATAAATATGAAATATTGAGTAGTCATAAACGTCGACAAAAAAACAGTTTTCCAATGTTTCCTGGTTCGTAAAAACTCAAATATTAATAAACATCTATGTAATAAGCTCTTCTTCACATTGAACTAATTTTCATAATCTTCTCAGCTAAATGTAGCATTCTTTATTGAAAATTTCATTCTTTTGTACCTTGAAGATGCTCTTAAAAGTTAGAAAAAAAAGTCGTAAAATAAACTACCATAAATCAATCAACAAAAAGGATGTTGAGACTTGTCACATTCATCATTCCACTTTTTGTTCAAGCGTTAAAACTCTAATACCGAAACATCTAATACATAAATGAGTCTTTATTTTACATTTAACTAGTCACTATTATCCGTTTAAATCAATAAACGGAATAAATGAATAAAAACTAATGTTACAATTGATAGATTTTCATTAATATTTTTTTGGATTTACGTTAGTGAAACTAATTTTTCCAACATATTTCCTATATGTATCTGCTGTACAATAATCCGATGGTTTAAATCAACTGACTACTTCTTCATTGATGATGATGATGATTATGATTTCTTGCAAACAGTCAAAGCGATTACATCGATTTACAACTTTGTATATAAACGTATTGTTGACTTTTCTCTTTTATGTACTTTATGTGAGTTGATTGACTGTTTTAATCTACAAAATACTGAATCAACGGAATTCATTAATTTAGTATAATTTTTTAATGAAGTCTATCTAATTTTATCTTTTTTTTTTATCAGAATGAGTTTTGTGGAGATATTTAGAAATTTCACATGTTGAAATCATGAGTCAATTGAAGCTAGACTACCATGGAAAACCTGGAAGCACTGGACGGCCGTTTCGTCCTAGTATGGGACTCTTCAGCAATGCGCATCCACGTTCTGATGTGTATTTTAAAACGGTAAAATATGGAATCTTAACGCGCTAATTTATTATAATACTAAGTGGATTATGATAAACAGAACTAATAAATAACAAACATTAAACGTTGGCATGGTTGTAAACAAACAGATGACAATTCACGAACTCATATTTAAGTAGGAAATCTTTACAACTGTTATGTTTGTGGTTACGGTAAACGAACATAATGCTTTTGGTTTGTTGATATAGAAGTTCTACCTTAATTAGCTAACCCTATTCAGACTTCCGCATCAACACATACAATTTCTTGTAATGAAACTAATTTTTTTGTGAAAATCCAACGCATACAAAGTTTACGATACATCCTAGATAATGATGATAACTGATACTGTTGTGTATGCTTCTCACGTTGACAGACACAAGTAGTATACAATAACAACCTGAAGGAGAATGCCTACAAGCAGAAGGTTGAGCAGAATGAAGTGACGAGAAGAGAAAAAGAAAAAGATAGTAATCAAGATAATAACAGGAATGAACAAACCATGATGAAAACTGAAAAAAGACGTACAAATGATTTATTTGATGTATGATTTTCACATGATACTAAACCATTGTGTGGTGGTACATTATTCAATAAATCGAGCCCTCCCACATTCAAGTGTTTCTTCACTATAATACTTATAAAATCATACTTATGAATATGGAATTAAGCACATTCTCATACTAATGAACACCATACACTAACTGATGGTTTACTTCACAATGTTATAATGCTATATCTCCTGTAACTCCACTTTCAACAGCTGGTAATTTGCATACTTCGTGTATGATGATATTGTTTGGTTTTTAAAACTATACATTCAGTATGTATTAAAGAATATATTTGAGAATAATATCAACAAATTATTCATAATTCATTATAATGTAAACTCTCTATTCTACTATTCCACAGACACCATTATTGAAGACAGAAATTATTAATTTAACATTAATCAACATTAGAAGGTATATTTAGATAAATCTGTTTTAATTCACTTGGTATTGTTTAGCCTGAATCTTCCCATTGAGGTTTAAGACTGCAATTGATCAGTCTGTTATTGTCATATGTGCATACTGTGCGTATGCCTCGATATTACCTTAATTCACAAGCTATTTGTAAGCAATGATGGATAGTGGCTAGAAGTGGAATCCAGGACGCGCGTTTCGTCCTATTTGGGAATCGTCGTCAGCTGGATGTACCTGCATCTCAGAGTTGATGTTCACTCTGGGACTCGAACCCACTACCATTCGCTTCAAACACCGTCGCATTATCCACTCAGCTACCGAGTCCTGATAGCCACTTGCTTGTGCAATGGGGTGAATTTGAATTATGTTTTAAGTCTTTACAAACAATGATGACGTGAAACACCATGTTAGTTATATTCAAAAATGTTTAGTTGCAGTAAAGGAAATACTTCAGGGTTCTACAGTGTATCCATTCACAACGTTTTCTAATTCGAAAAACCAAAAGATCATATTCCAACAACTACGGACTGATACTTTCAAAATGGTACAGATACAACTTCATTAAAAATTGCCCATATGTTTAAGTATAACAAATGGTTTATAATAAATTTCAACTTTTTTCTTTAACCCACCTGGAAGTTTAAATTCTGTTGTAAAAGTTTTTGTTCATATGTCCACATTTGCATTAATTCTGACCAACCATTTTCTAATCTATCTAAACGTTGGTCAAGTTGTATGTAATGTGCATCTGTTTCACCAGCTGTAATACATCGTCCATAACTTATTAAATCACTATATTCATCTTTACGAGCTAAAATCTGTTCACCTAATTCTTTATGCATATCAATTTCAGCTTTGGCTTCTTCAACAGACAATGGCAATTGATGTGTTGCTACACGAATTTCAATATTACGTAACCACAATTGATTATCATCTAAACCCTAAGCAAAAGAAAGAATTGACAATTTTGTTTGTGTAATTTTGCTTTAATTGTCATGTAAATAAAAGAATATCCGGTATTCATATTAAATAAATCTTAATTTTAACTTCTAGTATAAACATTTTTAGTGGTTACGCAACAACAACAAAAATTGTGTCAGTATTTTCTGCCTTTTATATAAAAAACTAAAATTAATCTTCATCACATTATTGATGATTAAAAATAAGTATCAGAGGGTTTTTTTTGGAGGTTTTAGCAATTTCACTTATTGAAATCATGAGTTAATTGAAGCTAGACCATCACGGAAAACCTGGAAGCACTGGGACTCTTCAGCAGTGCGCATCCACGATCCAGCACTCCATGAGATTCGAACCCATAATGAAATTTTCAGGTCAACTCTAAAGTTAACACAAATTCCGCTGTTTATAAATTAAATGTTATATTTAACATTTATACTACTCAATCTAGTAATATGTATCCAACATAATCTTTAAATGACGCAGTACTAATTAACTATAATACAACAATATCATATGCTCATTAGTTACTGCCTTCAAGAGGTAATACCCGGAGCTCTATTGAGAAGCAGTTACCAATGGAGTTCAACCTAGTCTGTTGTGACATATTAACTCACTGAAGACAATGGTGGACAGTGGTGCAATTACGTGGATTGGTTGAAGTTAGACATTAACATCACTGGATGTCCGCTCAGTGGTCTAGTGGTTAAGCGCTTGCACGTGAGATTGATAGATCCCGGGTTCGAACCTCATGAGGCGGGATTGTGGACGCGCACTAATGAAGATTCTCACACTAGGACGAAAAGGCCATCCCGTGATTCTAGGTTTTTCATGATGGTCTAGCCTTAATTGACTCATGAACTCAACGCTTAGATAATACGAATTCGAAAGAAATTAATCTTTAATTTTCTGTAGCGTGATTATGATAAAGTGATTTTACACTTAATTCATGGAAAACTTGGAAGCACTGAATGGCCGTTTCGTCCTGGTATGAGACTCCTCATCAGTGCGCATCCACGATCCCACCCCCCGCAGGAAAATTATTTATTGACTAATTGACTTTATAAAAATCATCTATACTTGAATTTATTCTTATCTCCGTTTGACGAAAGAAAAATGATACATAGAGAATAGTATAGGGCATCATGTTTATCGAATAGATTTTACCCTTAACTACTTTAAACATGCAATCTTTCGTATATAAATAATAATGTTTTTTCTTTGAATATTCTTGCATAGATTAACAAAAACCCACATATTAATCATAAGATTGTCTAAATAATTATCACCTGAAAAAATTGTTGCAACTCAGCTGAAGCTAATAATTTGTCTTGACGACTTTTTAACTCTACTTGTAAAAGTTCCCATTCCTGATTCAATTCTAATCTTAAATGATTGACTTCTTTTGAAGCATACAATTCTCCGGAGATAAGATATAAATCTCTTCTTTGTGGAGCTTCCTCTATTAGAGCTTTCAATAATCTTTCACCTTCTACATTGAGACTTTGGATTTCACTTTGTAATGCAATAAAATCTTTTTCCCAACCTAGTAATCTTCTTTGTAATTGCATAACACTATTTAAATCTGTACCTAAATCATCAGTTGAGATGAGTAATTCTCTTTTACGTATTATCCATTCCTTTGTACTTTGACATAAAGTATGGTATTTTGATAAATATGCAGCTAATTCAAACCGTTCATGACGTGCATTGAGTAAAAGCTTCAAACGTTGCCATTTCTTGTTAATATAATCTAATAATTTTGAATATTTTGGTTCGTCAACATTATTGTCGTCAGTTTGTTCATAACTAAAGTTTTTCGATGTACGTCGGTAAAACATTTTATTTTCATGGTTAGTTTCAACAAATTCTTGACTACTTTCTTTATCCACACTAATTTCATATGGTTTATCTATGGCTTCACTACTATCCTCATCCTCCTGTGCCTCTTCATTATCACCATCATCAACATCATCTTCATCATCATCCGCATAATCCTCGACTGATAAATTAAGTTTTATAGTAGACTGAATAAATTGAAGAATACTAAAATCCCTTTCTTTGTCAAGCTTCTTTAAATTTTCCGATAATCCTTCATTAAGCATTCCAATTTCACTTAATCTTAAATTTGCATGACTTATTAGTTCATGTTCAAATGTTTTAAAACGATAAGCTTGTATAGAGAGTTGTGATATAGCATGAATAATATCTTCCGTAACAGTAATAGGATATGGTATTGGTAAAGATTTTAAAAACTCCATCGAAGGATATATTATAGGATTGAATGTTAACAGAATTCTCTCCCTTTTTTGAAAATAAAAACAGGAAAGAACATATAGAAATGAAACAAGGATTTTTCACGCAAAATAAAATAGTTCCTGTTGACTGAAACTAAATTATCAGACTTCATGCTACTTAACATAAAAGCATAACTTCATTAAGAAAGGCATTACTTTGTACCAATCAACTCAAGTGCTAATATGTAGCTAGTTATATGGATCTGAAAGGTCATGCTCACTTTGAACTAATCTCTGAGATTAGCCTGTCTCATCATCTAAAACTGAACGCAACTTGGTAAACAGCATCATTTAAAAATGCCAAAACTCCACCACAACAACCATTCATATGTGTGCAAAAAACATACAAATGAAATGGCTCAAAAAAACCATTTGTATTAGAAAATGTTTCTGTGAGTTCAAAAGTGAGATACCTAATCCCTCATTTTATAATGATTCCAACAATCTTTTTGATTATGCAACATTTTATCAGATTAATGATCGTTTCCTTATCGTTTTTACATTCGTCAAGTGAATATTTATTTTAATATCTCTTATTTATAAATTAGTTTTACTTAATTGTTTTTCATTACCCTTTGGACTATCCAGTAACTTATATTCTACTTTGTAAAGATTAGTTACATATCATCACTAAACATATAATCACTTGTATACAACTAGACACTGTTTTATCAACCGAATGTTATATTCCATCGCTAAGTGTACTTGGCTGTTAAATTCATTTCTGGTCAAATTATTAGAAAAATGAGATCAGATCCATAAGTAGCGATGAACAAATTTGAGCCTACTAAACTTTAAGTCCTATATCAACCAAATAAACTGGTTGTTTTTAGTCTTAGGTGCTACTAAATTGTCGATGATTTCTTTATAAATTTCAGTTAAAAATGGGGTGGGGGAGGGAAATCAAACTTCTCAACTTAAAACTAAGCAAAATTAATATGGTGTAAAAAAAAGAATAAATGTCAGCTTACTTTTCTTCAATCCAATTTCCCATTGATACAATATTGTCAACAAGACGCAAAACATTACGTCGAAGTTCCAATTTATCTCTTATTTTTAAACTGTTTTCTAAACAATCTATGAAATGCATATGAATAAAACTTAACCTATTTAATAAATGATGAGCAATCATTGAAACATTTGGAAGTAATAATATGTGTAATTCATGTGCTTCAGGAGAATTCATCGGAGTTCTATAATTTTGTTCAGAATATTTATTATCCTCATTTCCTTCAGTACTACTCATGATAGATTTTGTTGATGTAAACAACAATTCCTGTAGACTATTCTCGGACTCAGTAGCAGCCAAAGTCATTTCACAATCAGTTTGTTGTAAATTCAGTGTTTCATGCAATGTGGTTGTTCTTGAGAGTTGATTTTTGTCTATCTTCTCTTCTTTATCATCTTCAAGACTGGATTTAGAAATAACGGAATCTATATCCTCTTGAAATGATGAGCCAACTGTTCGTAGACCGGTTAGTGAAACTTCATCACTATGATCACTACTATAATTGTCTTCATTATTAGTGTTTTGTTGTTTAGCAGATTGAAATGTTACTTCCACATGAGATTTTCTAGATCTATAAAGATTATTTAATTTGGTTTTCAAGAGATGAAATTCTGAATAATCATTTTCATTTAGAACAGATCTGGCTGGTAGAAAAGCATATACTTCATTTCGTAGTCGATTTAAATGAGTAGTAAATAATTTCAACTGTTCAATTATCTGAAAACAAAACAATATAATTGGAATTTAATTTTAAATAGTGAAAACTGTACTCATATCAAAATATTAAGCACCATTTGTTATGATCAGATAGGGTGAATAAGTATTGAGGTTAGTATAAGGTGATTCGGTAATTAAAGGATTGTTAAAATAAATAAAGAAAAAAAAACTATTGAAGCAATAATCTTTACATAATTATATTTCTTGTCTAAGCTTAAGCATCTTTTTAAATGTTTACTTTTGCCTATCTCATTTTATCCTTTTTTACTCGCTCCGTTTATTTCAGTTGAATATATATATATATATATATATATATATATATATATATATATATATATATATATATATATATATATATATATATATATATGCTAATAATAACTGGTTTAGTTACTGGTTTCATTCTAAGTAGCTCATACAACTTGACCAGATATGACTACTACTATTACTACTATTATTGCTAACATTGTTTGTACCAGCATTTGATATCCCTAGAGAAATATCATTGAAAAACGTGCAAAAATATTTGAATGACTAATGTGCTCAATCATTCTGATTAACAAGCAAATGAAACAGAGTAAAGAAAAATAATAAACTAAATTGACAATATTCTCAGTATTGTATAATCTGTAAATGTAGCATTCTCAACAAACAAAAAAATGTAATAAAGAATTATGTCTCTTACAATATAATCGATAATACTAAATTCAGCTAGTTGATCAAAGAGAATTTCGATTACATTCATTTTCTGTTCAGCCTATTCCCTAGAACTAGAAATTAATATTACGAAACTCAAAATACTAACTACTCACTTGGACATTGGAATTGAATGTTTTTAGTTTTACATGAGTGGATACTCTTATTCAAAAATAAAATTTTTATATATACCTATTCTCAGAAGGGGTTTGTGGAGATTTTAGAAATTTTCACAGATTTAAATCATGAGTCAGTTGAAGCTAGACCACCATTGAAAACCTGGAAGCACTGGACGGCCGTTTCGTCCTAGTATGGGACTCCCCAGCAGTGCGCATCCACGATCCCGCACCACGCGGGGCTCGAACCCAGGACCTACTGACTTCGCGCGCGAGCACTTAACCATTAGACCACTGAGCCGAAACGGCCGTCCGGTGCTTCCAGGTTTTCAATGGTGGTCTAGCTTCAACTGACTCATGATTTAAATCTGTGAAAATATACCTATTCATCAATTATTTAACCTAATATTAAATTTTCGGTATCTATGTATCATTGAAATAAGTGAATTATGAATAATTCATTTCAGTATATAAGAGATCTGTGTAGGGCCCCCAAATGCCCCGGTACTGCTCAGTGTGGGGAGAGTTCGCTCTCCCTCTCCAAATGCTCTCACATGGCTACGCGTGTATAGCCTCTGCCAGGGAAGTCCTACTCCATGCCTCCTTTCACCAGGGGTGTTGTTTACGAAAATGAGAGGATGAAAAGCGAATGTCCGGCGCTTCCAAACCAATGGTGCACATGGGCTCCAGTATCCTGAGGGAACAAACAGGGTATGAACCAATTGTTGGTCACCGGCTTCCATGGAACTGCATCTCCTTACGATGCTCCACTGCCTTGTGGATCAGACTTTCAGGTTGAAGGCTCGGGGAGTGGCCCTCTAAGAAAACCACTTGCTTCGATTTGAGCACCCGGACAGTATCACAGCCCTCCTTTTGTCATATATGTGCTTGAAGAAAAATATATAGAAATGGGCATAAAACGTTTTTTTTATTTATTGATTATTTCTTGATTAAGATAAACGATGTCCGATGACCTATTGATTCCGCTTCTTATGAACTTTTAGATTATCGCAGAAGTTCTATTGTTTTTCAACGCCATAAGAACTAGGTCGTAGTTATGATCAGACATTGATATTATCAAAATCTTCTTGAAGTGATTAAAACATTCGCCATTAAATTCAATTCTTTCCATTTTATATATATCATAGTAAAAATTTCGTACTTGATTGAACGATATAATCTTGTTATAATTGCACGTTATCACTGTCAAATATTAATCCAATTAATGGTATCTGGTAATTCACAGTTATATAATATACCCTTGTGGGCCAGGGTAATTTTACATTAGTTTTCAGGAGAACCAGACACCATCCGAACTTTCACGTGACAACCCAAACAATACAGCTCAACCCCGCTTCACAGGAGAACCAGACACCATATAGGCTTTAACGCTACAATCCTGTGTCACAACCACACAGGTACCAAGCACCCTGGTGGACCAAATATCTGGTAATAGGTAGGATTTATTATGCAATTTTTTAGGTTTATTAAAGAATAAAATAAAATAAAATGACATTTCTAGTTTTTTTTTGCTTATTAAAGATAAATCAATAAAATGTTACTATCAAATTTAATGAACATTCATTTCAACATAGTCACTATAGGCTTGTTACTTACATGATCCATTTGCCTTAATGTTGAATTAATCACAATTTCTTTATTAATTGTTAAAGCTTTTTGTTCTCCCAGTGTATTAGTAATTGTCATTGATTTTATTCTTGTTTTATATGTATCAATGACTTCATTCTGCATTGATTTATCTCTAACCGGTTCATGATAGTCGGCAAGCATTGATATCAATTGAACACTATTATATGTTTCACATATTCTTAAATTAGTTTCTTCAATTTTACTATTAAGTATCACTAAGCTATATAATCCATTTAAATATTGATTATGTCTTGCCAATTTAATATTTATGTCATTAATTGCAATCAATAATTTATTCCATTGTCTTTGTAACAATTTAACAAATTCAACAACTTTTGTACAACGTTCTTCATGTTGAATATACTGATAGTTATGAAATGTTGAATTATCCAGTGGAAAATTGAATAGATGCATATTTCCTAAATAGATTATAATATCTTCATATATTCGTATTAATGAGCATTTTTTCAAATCCTCAATCAATTCATTTCCATTATATACTTCAGTTTCATTTGATTTGTATTCATCAAGATGTATATTATTAAGAATACTCATTAAAGAAATATCATTCATAGTTAGTTGGTTGAAATTTATAGAGTTCAACTTAGTTGTAATTTGTTGTAATTCTTCATATAATGTTTGATTTGATGAAGTTAAATGATGATTATAATAATTAATTCCGTATCTTAAATGAAGTTCATTATTAAGTAGATGTAATCTATTTTGCAAATGATGAGTCTGTATACCAACCTGACCGAAATTTTCAACGAGTTCCTCTTTAAGAAATTCAAGGGGTTTAATTGAATCATTTTGATCCTAAGTACATATGAAGAGAAAAGAAAAACTGTACATTTAGTACTTTCAAAGAAGAAATTTTTACTAGTTACAAAACTTAGATAAATATTAACTTCACTTGGTATTGTTTACTTGAAACTTCCCATTGATGAATAGGATAGCGATTGATCAATGTTTCTCAGTCCATACTGTTTATTAATCCAAAAATAAGGTAGAGTGTGTCCAATCCTTCCTAGTTCTGAATGGTTATTAATTCAAAGTCAGTCTGTGACGTTAACTATCTTTAACTGCGTTCACGCTCTCAGGTCACTAAGACCATCTCTAATCCAATTTCCTTTTCAGATACCTCCAGAAGAACCTTTCCATGGTGTGCACAACCGGGAAGTCATAACCTCCCTCATACCTCTAACAGCACTCAAAACCACTGTATTCATAATGAACCTCCTACTCCAGTTCCTATTATATCCCCCACATCGACTTTCAACACTAAAATTTCTCTTTTGGCTTCCTGCTTGAGTGTTACCATAACCAACGATTCTGTCCCAGGTCTACTGAAACCTCGCTCCAAACTACACATTGGAGCCTTCAACGTACGCACCCTATGTCAAATCGGCCAGCAGGTCTCCTTGGCTAAGGCCCTAAAATCTCGTGACACTGATGTATGCTGTGTCTCCGAAACAGGAATTCAGGATCCTAGTGTGGTCATTCACTTGACCTCACCTCGGCAAAACAGAGGGCCAACGAGATACACCCTCCGTGTATCTGGTGATCCGACGGCCAGTTATCGTGGACTGGCAGGAGTAGGGATAGCACTAAGCATGAGGGCGGGACAATCACTGTTAGGGTGGATTCCCGTTAACAGTGGTTTATGTGCTGTTCGACTACACGGCTCCGTAAGAACTCGGAAGGATAGGGACATTGTCGTTGCCTCCTTGTCGTTTCTGCCTACGCTCCCACCGAATGCAGCTCAGATGAAGTGAAAGATGAATTTTACAGAAAGCTATTTGAACTTCTTCAGGAAGCTAAACGTTCATACATAGTACTCGTAGCAGGTGACTTTAATGCCCGGATAGGTAGTTTAAACCAAACAGAAAGGCATTTAGGTGAGTATTTTAGTATTCCGGCACAACGAACAGACAATAGTGATCGTCTGCTGCAACTGTGCTCAGAAAATCGTTTATTTTTAGCAAACAAAAATTTTAGGCATAAGGGGAGACATCGTCTAAAATGGTGACTCCCTACACCAAACCAACGATAGACTCAAATAGACCATATTGCCATCAGTCATCGTTGGAGAGGTTCGGTACAAGATTGTCGCTCATTCTGGTGTACCTGCTTGGACTCCAACTATGCCTTAATATGGGCACGCATCTGCTTGCGCCTCACTGGACGCAAAAATGCCACACTAAAAAGACCCATTAGAACTTAATTGAGTAGCGAGAAAATCAAAAGTAGGTTCCAGGAACAACTGAGATCACAATTACGTAGTTCTGTAAACGAGGCTGACCCAGATGTAGCTTGGAAAGATATACAAGCGGCTGTGGAAACATCAGTGATATCTATTAGTGATTTAAACTACAGGGTTACAAAGAACCAATGGATTTCTTCAAGGTCTATTGCATTGATGGATTCTCACAAACTCATCCCATCAAGTTCTGAACACGATGAAGAGCCTAAAGAAATCAGGTCTAGGTTAACCAAAAATCTGAGAAACGACCGTGAGCAGTGGTGGGCAACGAAGGCATAAGAGATGTAAAAGGCGGCGGCTATAGGGAAAACAAGACAGCTCTACAGACTAATAAAAGAAACTGGAATTAATAAGTCAAGTGTAAGTGAGATTATTTCGGAAATAGACGACACTCATCTGCTCCCAGTTCAGACGTTTAGAACGATGGGCGGAACATTTCAGAGCACAGTTCAGCTAGCCCTCAGCTACTCTACAACTACCATCTATTCCCAGACAGTGTGAATGGAACATTGAAGTATGCCTCCTAACTCTAGCTGAAGTTCAAAAGGCTGTACTTGCTCTGAAACGAGGAAGAACAGCTGATCCAGATGGATTGGCTCCAGAGTTCTTTTAGGATGGTGGTCCAATTTTAGCGATTAGGTTGACTAATATTTTAACTAAGATCTGGGAGTTAGACGTCATTCCATCTGACTGGTCACAATCACTTATCGTCCCAATATATAAGAGAGGGTTAAAATCATCTTGTGACAACCACAGAGGGATTAGTTTATGCAATATAGTATCTAAAGTACTAGCCTCGATAATTATAAGACGCCTAACTAAGACTCGTGAACTGAAATCACGAGAGAATCAAGCTGGCTTGAGACCTGGTCGTGGCTACATCGACCACTTATTCACCATTCGTCAGGTTCTAGAACACAGGCAAGCTCAACGGCGTCCGACAATGATAGTCTTTTTTGATTAAAATCAGCACTTGACTTTGTTGGTCGAGAGGTTTTGTGGGAGTGTCTGTTATTGAAAGGCGTACCTCAGAAGTACATAACTTTGTGAAGGCTCGTTACTCGAACGCTACTGACGAGCAGTCATCTGTCTTTGCGACCTCAAGTGGTGTCCGTCAAGGCTGTCCACTTTCTCCATTTTCGTTTAACTTCACCATAAACATACTGATGGAAATAACTTTCTTATCGACTGGATTCTCGGGTATTGATCTCCTTCCAGGAGGTCCACTTATCGACTTAGAATACTCAGATGATATAGTCCTGTTTGGTGAAGACACTGATAGAATGTAGTGTCTTTTGATAGCACTGAGAAACAATGCCAGAATGTTTGGGGTGCGCTTCTCCACCTCTAAATGCAAGTTGTTGCTCCAGGACAGGCCTGCGTCAACACCTGAACTAAGGATAGGGAGTGAAGTAGTCGAACGCATTGAAAACTTCACTTATCCTGGAAGTCTAATCAGCCCTAATGGGTTGGTATCTGACGAAATCTCAGCACGGATTCGAAAAGCTCGCTTGGATTTTGTTGACTTACGTCACCTATGGTGAAGGTGAGATATCCGACCATCAATTTAGGGACGAGTGTATTGCGCGGCAGTTCATTCTGTTTTACTTTTACGGCTGCGAAACGTGACCATTAAGAATTGAATATATTCGGAAGCTACTAGTATGTGACCACAGATCCCTTAAAAATATTGCTCGCATTTGCTGGAACCATCGAGTAAGTAATAGTGAGGTTAGACGCAGGGTATTAGGGAATGATGGTGAACCAGTTGATGAGGTTGTCAATCTTCATACACTGAGGTGGTTGGACGACGTGGTACGTATGCCTGAACACCGTTTACCACGATGTGCAATGCCGACTAGTTGGGGATGATTGGAAGAAAGTTAGGGGCTGCCAAACCAAAATGTGGCATCAGTGCCTGAAGTCATTGACTCCTAGTCTTAGCCATGCCGGTAGATGCAGACTACTTGGTTGGAGTCCACGTAACTATCGTAATCAATGGTTGGAGACTATGGGTAACATGGCTCAGAATCAATCAGAATGGCGTCGGTGTACATACTCTCTGTCTTCTCTTAAACTGTGAGAGTAAAATTATTTCATATCTTTCTTCCTGTATTATATCCTTATTACAATCTTTCTTTTATATATTACAACCAATGAGTTAACTACGATGAATCATGTGTTCGTCTTGCTATGCTAATGATGCATGGCAAATTGAACCGATGCATATATGTGCCTGATCCTGAAAAATTCCCATTATATCAAAACACAATGATATAAACGAAGAATATTCTTTTCAATGAATTTCTTATCAGCCTCTACAATTATAAATCCAAATTAATAATCCATAAAATTTGCCAAATTTAGGGCAGAGCATTTGATTTAAAATTGTTTATATGTGAATTAAGGATTGTTGTTTTTGTCATATAAAACCAAATCAAATCGTTAATGTTGTGGTTGACTAATATGGAGTTAGATCGTGGTAGGACGTAGTCGACAGGAAACCCTGGACCCGGGTTTCGTGCTACTTGGCACTCGTCAGTAAGGTGTACCTGTAATCTTCAGGGAACTGGTGCTCTCTGACAGACTCGATCCCGTGTCACCCAGCTTCACGGACAGAGACGTTACCACTGAGCTATCTGAGCGGCTGTAGAAGAATATGAATTAGATCAGATATCGTAGATTTAGGAGATGGATGCCGAATAAATAAAAATAATAATAATAATGGTAAAGATAATAATAAAAAGATCAGTTTGGGACATAAAAATGAACATTAATCAAATGACGTTACCATATTACAAAATTTATTATTAACTAGTTGACCCTAGAAGTTGGCCAAAGTAAAAGGAGAGGCTTATTGGATTTTATATTCTTGATTCACATATAAACAATTTACAAATGATGTACTCTACCTTAAATCTGGCAAATTTTATGGATTATTCATTTGGATTTATAATTGCAGAAGCTGATAAGAAATTCCAAAGCCGAAAAATACCAAGTGAATTTAATTTCACCCCGTTGCACAAGCAAGTGGCTATCAGGACTCAGTAGCTGAGTGGATAATGCAATGGCGTTTGAAGCGAATGGTACTGAGTTCGAGTCCCAGAGTGAACATCAACGCTGAGATGCAGGTACATCCAGCTGACGAGTCCCAAGGAGAATGGAACGCACGTCCTGGATTCCACTTCTAGCCACTATCCATCATTGCTTATAATGCTTGTAAATTAAGGTAATATGGAGGCATACGCACAGTATGCACATATGCTAATAACAGACTGATCAATTGCAGTCTTAAATATCAATAGGAAGATACAAGCCAAACAAGTGAATTCAAATTCACCCCATTGCACAGGCAAGTGGCTATCAGGACTCAGTAGCTAAGTGGATAACGCGATGGCGTTTGAAGCGAATGCTAGTGGGTTCGTGTCATAAATAGGACAAAATGTGCATCAAACTGGATTCCAGTACTAGCTACCATCCATCATTGATAAGAAATTCATTGAAAAGAATATTCTTCGTTCATATTATTGTGTTGTATATATATCAATGAGTAAAAGTTCATTATTATCATCATTTCAACAACAATCAACTAACTTTTATCCATAATAATTCTTCATTCATTTCATTTAATAAACGATATACATTTTTTATTGTTGTATTCCATTGACTTATATCTAATAAAATCTTTTCAAGATTTGAATGATACAATTGAATAGATTCTAAACTATGTCTAATATTGATTTGTAAATATGATCTTGATTGATTATTATTATTATTATCATCATCATCAAGATGTTTTACTTCAGAATGATCTATTCTATTCAATAAAGTTTTTACAGATTCAATCCATATCACTAATTGATTAATATCCATTTGTAATTGATCTAAATAGGTATCCACTGAATTGGTTTTATTTTCTTTTATCAATTGATTGAATTGTTTAAATTGATTATTCATGATCTCGAATTGATTATTGAATTGTAATAAATAATCTAACCATTCTTGATAAAATTTTAAATCATTTGCACGATTATATAATTTAATTTGTAATCGATTATTCATCATTAATAAATGATCCCAATGGTTTTGATATTTATCCCATTGTAATTGAGGTATAGATGATACTGTTAACTTTTGTAATAATTCATTTAATTTATATAATTTTAAATGAATATAAGTTTCGGTATCATTCATAAAAGCGGAATGTTTCTGTTGTGATGATGTAATTTGATGACGAGTAATGATTAAATGATGAATTGGAAATGATTGACATTCCTGTGATTGTTCATGAGTAGTAGTAGTAGTAGTAGTAGTTAAATGAATCAAATATACTTTAAATAAATTCATTTGTTCTAATAATTTCATATCTTCAGTTTGTGTTGCTAAATTAATAATTTGTATATTCTCTTGTAACCAATTTAAGCATAATTCAATTTTACGTTCATATTTTATGCCTAATAAATTTACATTTTCCTGGAATTAGAAAACAAAAAAAAACCATTGAAAGTTGTTAAACGATCATGGATCACAATCTATCAGTCACTTTTAGGCATATGTGTATCATGTGCAGATTGTCACACGATATTCCCATCGAGTCACAAGCATTTTTAGCTACATTCAATCAAAAGATACTGAATACAACAGTATGTCATAAATGTGTAGAATAGGTCAAATATAGCTAGTAGTGGAATCCAAGACGTGTGTAACGTCCCAGTTGGGACATGTTCAACTCTGTTATGGACTACATTCTGCTGAGGATATTCAAGAAAGTAGTGTATATGTTTCTGAGAGAAACATTTTGTCGCGAAACTGTATTATGTTAACCTAGAAATTTTGTTTTAGGCTAGTTTTGCTTGTTCGGGATCTTCGTCATCGTAATAATGTCAGTTCAAGTACAACTTAAAACCAAAAACAAATAAGTGATTCGCTCTATCATGAACTTATTTATTTTGAGATATCGGTAGAAGTAGACATGAATTTCAGTAAGACCTTCATTAAACAATCTCGTTTCCAAATTTGGATTTTGAAGTGGTCAATATATTTTGATTAGTTTGTAAGTGAAGATATGTAATTACTAATGCTAGACAAAAGTTCAGCAAATATATACAATACCAGTAGTTATTAAGCTTTAAATTACGAGATATAAAAGTTCTATGGTTCTAACAGTATGATATGGCTACTCAACGCTTTTATTGCCCAATAATGAGATTGTCTTTGGTTCCTATTATCATAAATATCGTCATGGAAATGTCATTATTCACTGAAAACTTCATCTAAACGATGCAGTAATGTCCATGAATTTGCTTTGAATTCATGGTCATCGGTAATACTATCCAAAATATTTTCAGACTAACAAAAGGTGTCAATACTGTGATTGACTAATATATTTAAAAAACAAGCTACTTTTTAAAATGAAAAATTGAAATACTAAGTGGTTCTGCCTGGTTATATAACTCGATTAAAATTAGATTACAGAAACTATTTGATTTGCTTTCTCTTGAATCTTAGAAAATAAATTTTGTAGAACAATATAGGACTATCTAAATGTCAACAGCGTCAGTCAACATGATAGCTGAATTTTATGATTAGTGTTGAATATGTTATTGAGAGCCTAGTATTTCATTTGAGAAGCTATCTAGCCAAATGATTAGATGTTCATCAGCATATATTAAACTGTAACGTACACTAATCATCTCTCATTTTAATAAGCTGCTGTATAATCCCGGTATTATAGCAGTGTATTTGATGTCTACAAGCGGAATAGCTCAATTACTAAGACTTCATTCCCCCCTCAAAAAAACTGATAAATTGAAAAAGCTCTGTACATGTTTGTAAGTGCTTACACATTATTTGTACAGTTACTAATAAACCATATTTTAGTAATTGTTATATGAACATTTTTTATAACCTAGTAGTTTAACGGATTGGGCATATTACAGTATAGTCGTTGGCTTAATCATTGCTATTTTAAAACTTGATATTCGATACGTAATGAATGGTTTACAGCACATTCATTCGATGACCCTCAAAATCTCCTTGATTAATACTAATTATATGAGAGGAACTTGAATATGTCCATGATTCATTTGTATACATTGAAACTAAAAATGAATTTAAATTGAACTTACTCGGCGAATTAATTCATCTACAATACCCAAATGACAGTTATGTTCAACTTTGATTAAACATTTCCAAGATTCTTCTAAGTCATTGAGACTGAAACCATTTGGCGGTTTGAATAATCGATGTGATTCAGCCAACTGACTAGTGTGAATTTCAGTTAACAGGGTCTATTGAAGTTTTTTTTTTAGAAAAAGATTGTAAAACATTCTTAATGGTAATTTTAAGTTAGAACATATATTAATGAACAGTACTGTTTCAATTAGACTTTCATCAGGTTTTACTCTAATATACAGTAATATCTATTTGAAGACAAGATAAACGTTGAATTAAACAAGATAGTTTGTGAGCTAATGATATGAATAAAGTGGACTACGTAACTGACTGTTATAAGCAGTAAATACGCATTAATAGGAAAATGAAAGGTATGCTAACAATGATACAAATAATAATAGTTCTAATAACTTCGGAAGTAGATCAAAACATGGATAAATAAACTTATTAAAATAATCATCATCAAAATTGCGTAATAAGAAGTACGAGGATAATTAGTCAGACTAAGTATAATGAGTGAGGAGAAATGAACATCATGGCAAAAAATCCAAAACAAGGTTAATTCATCCATTATGTCTTATCGTGTCATGGAGGAGACAGAGGTACCACAGATCGTTTTGAATGCAAAAACTAAAGTTGTAGACATCAATTCACTATGTATTTTACTATGAACAGGTAACAAGATCAAGTTTCGTAAAAATTGGAGCGTTTTGATACATTACTCTGAATGCTTTTGCTCTATTCGATGCACGACTACCATCAACAGAATGTGATGAAAGGAAGATGTAAGTTGATTTATTCTTCTCTCTTTCAAAACTAAGAAGGATGGCACTCGCTAACACATGTATGCACACAAATATCACTGCATGTGAGAATCAGGCCTGATGGAAATTTTATTGAATACACTATCATTCACGTAAACGTGTTGTTTTAATTCAAATAATGTTAATGTTTGTCTGTATGTAAATGTTTCCCTCAGAACCTCTTGTTAATCTGTCACATTCAGATTGAGACACGAAGAGGATAAAAGCATCTACCTGAATTCGAATGACTCTTATATCAGTGTTGACCTAATTATAAAAATCACGTCTTTTTTTATCAATCTAAGTGTAAGCTTTTCTTTTAATCTCGTATAATTTCCTGGTGCTCTTTCAAGATCGAATAAATGTGAGTTCGTTCAATTCATTGTAAGGTAAACTATGTATTTTAACATCATTTAGATTTACGTTTGTGTTTTTTAAATTATGTATGTTATCGGTCCGTGTGCATTATTCCCCACTATTTCTTTAGTATCATTTGCAAAAATACACTGTTCTGTATACGACATGCTGTTGGTAACCGTTAGTAGTGTCAGCGAAGTATTACTTGACTTCATTAAAAGTATATTTTCAGATGATGATGTTGATATGAATCCTTGTTGTTTTACTAAATACAAACCATCTGCAGTTTTATCCATGTTTGGAAGGATACAACATACATACACTATTATATCCATTTGAAAATAGAAAATACAACATTATTCTAATAACTGATTTCCCAGATATATTTTCGTATAAAAGAATTTATAATACCAGGACTAATTCAAAACCCTTTTGCATTTAACTTACTTAATTAATTAATTACTTACGCTTGTTACTCATCGTGAAGGAGCATAGGCCGCTCACCAGCATTATCACTCCAACCCTGTCCCAAGCAATCCTTTCCAGCTCCTTCCAGTTGTTATTCATCCTTTTCATATCTGCTTCTGTCTCCCGACGTAATGTGTTCTTAGGCCTTCCTCTTTTCCGCTTCCCTTCAGGATTCCAAATTAGGGCTTGTCTCGTGATGCAGTTTGATGATTTACGTAATGTATGTCCTATCCATTTCCATCGTCTTTGCCTAATTTCTTCTTCAGCTGGAAGCTGATTTGTTCTCTCACAGAGAAGGCTGTTGCTAATGGTATCCGGTCAATGGATGTTGGGTATCTTGCCTAGACAGCTATTTATAAATACTTGCACCTTCTTGATGGTGGTTGTTGTAGTTCTCCAAGTTTCAGCTCCATACAGTAGAACTGCCTTGACACTCGTATTGAAGATTCTGACTTTGATATTAGTTGAAAGTTGTTTTGAGTTCCATATGTTCTTCAATTGTAGGAATGCGACCCTTGCTTTGCCAATCCTTGCCTTTACGTCTGCATCTGAACCTCCTTGTTCATCGATGATGCTTCCCAGGTATGTTAAGGACTCTACATTTTCCCGAGTTTCGCCATCAAGAGTGATTGGATTGCTGTTCTTCGTTTTGAATTTGAAGATCTTGGTTTTCCCCTTGTTTATGCTGAGACCTACTGATGCAGAGACTGCTGCTACACTGGCTGTCTTTGTCTGCATCTATTCGTGTGTATGAGATAGGAGGGCTAGGTCATCTGCGACGTCCAAATCGTCTAATTGATTATGAGCTGTCCACTGTATGCCGTGTTTTCCCTCAAATGTCGAGGTCTTCATAATCCAGTCAACCACCAGAATAAAAAGGAAGGGAGAGAGTAAACAGTCTTGTCTTAGTCCGGTCCTTACTTGGAATGAATCTGTCAGCTGTCCTCCATGCACGACCTTGCACTGTAGTCCATCATATGAGCTCCGGATAATATTGACAATCTTCTCAGGAACTCTGTAGTGTCGAAGAAGTTTCCATAACGTCCTCCTGTCTACACTGTCAAATACCTTTTCATAATCAACGAAGTTGATGTACAGTGTTGAGTTTCACTCAAATGATTGTTCGACGATGATCCGTGGTGTTGCAATTTGGTCTTTGCACGACCGATCCTTACGGAATCCAGCTTGTTTATCTCGAAGTTGGGCGTCTACTGCATCTTTCATCCGGTTCAGCGACAATTTGTTAAAGACTTTTCATGGTACTGACAGTAGTGTGATTCCTCTGTAGTTTTCACATTTGCTCAGGTCTCCTTTCTTTGGAATCATGATGAGGTGTCCTTCTTTCCAGTCCATTGGCGCTTGTTCCTCCTCCCAAATCTTTTTGAATAGAAGGTGAAGCATGTTTGTAGCTACTTCGATGTCACTTCAGTGCTTCAGCTGGTATATTGTCGGGTCCCGCTGCTTTCACTCTCTTGATTTGTCTGACGGCCATTTCGATTTCTTTCGTCGTTGGTGGAAGATCTGTCTGCGCTGCTTCGATTTCCAATAGATTCGCTGGAACCGGTCTATTCAGGAGTTTCTCGAAGTATTCTACCCATCTGTTCCGCTGTTGTTGAATTTCAGTAATTGGCCTGCCTTCTTTGTCCTTGACCGGTCTCTCTGGTTTACTGTATTTCCCTGCTAGTTTCTTCGTTGTATCGTGAAGCTGTTTCATATTTCCTTCTCTTGCAGCTTTTTCAGCCGTCGTTGCTAGCTCTTCCACGTACTTCTTCTTGTCGGCTCTAGTGCTCTTCTTCACTTGCTTGTTTGTTTCTATGTATTCAGCTTGTGCTTGAATTTTCTCTGTTCGTGTTCTGCTGCTGTTAATTGTTCTTCCTTTCTTTGATCTTGTCCAGTGTTTCTATAGATATCCATTCCTTATGATGATGCTTCTTGAGGCCCAGAACATCTTGACACGTTGAAGTTAATGCTTCTTTGATACTTTTCCAGTGGTCCTCCATAGTAGTTTCTTCTTCCTTCAGTAGATCCTGTAAAGCTTGGAACCTGTTGTTTAGAGCTATCTTGAAATTGTTAAGTCTTTTAGTATCTCGAAGAAAGACTGTATTGAACCTTTATAGTGCCGTCTGTCCAGTTCTCCAGTTTTTCTTTAGCTTCAGTTTTAAATTGGCCACATTTAGGTGGTGATCTGAAGCTATATCAGCTCCTCTCCTGGTTCTCACATCTTCCATAGTCCTTCGGAATTTTTTATTGATACAAATATGATATATTTGGTTCTCTGTAGTGTGGTCCGGTGAGATCCACGTAGCTTTGTGTATACGTTGGTGTAGAAATATTGTGCCTCCTATGACCGATTTGTCGAATGCACACAGATTCGCAAATCTTTCTCCATTTTCGTTTCTCTCACCCAGTCCATGTCATCTCCTGATATCTTCATATCCGGTGTTTTCTATCCCGACTCTGGCATTTAAATCTCCAATCAGAATGGTGAGGTTCTTTCTTGGGCACTTCTATATGATTGACTGCAGCCGCTCGTAGAATTGATCTTTAATGTCATCGTTGCTATCATTGATGGGTGCATAACATTGGATAATATTCATTGTGATCCCCTCCTTCTTTGTTTTGAATGATGCTTTGATGATTCTAGATCCGTGAGATTCCCATCCTCCAAGTGCATTTCGTGCTACTTTGGACAGCATTAGAGCAACTCCCTGAGTGTGTGGAGCATTTCCCTCTTAGTGGACGAAGTATAGTAGCATCTCTCCAGTATTTAGCCTTTGTTGTCCAGCTTGAGTCCAATGGGTTTCGCTGATTTCCAATACTGCCAAGTTGTACCTCCTCATTTCCGTTGCAATTTGACTGTTGTTCCTGGTCTCCCACATTGTTCGGACGTTGCATGTACCTATAAAAATTGGTGTTCTGGTTGTTATAAGAGGCATCGGCCTCGTGGCTTCCGAAGGAACTCGGCTTTCATCATGAAGCGTCATAAATCTTCTAGATGAAGACCTTCTAACTCCCAGTTCAGAGTTTAAATGGTTTGAATTATTTGATCTGGTTAGGATTTTTTTAGCGAGTTAGTTTTCTACGGTTTGTGGTCGCTAACCCCATGCGCAACCCTCCTCGTTTACCCGGGCTTGAAACAGGCAGTAACCCTAGAAGAGCTACATGCGGAGTTAATAAGAATTAAGAATCGTTAAAAATTAATTCACGTGAAGCATCACTGAGTAAAATGCTTAAATTCAAAATGGTTGGAATAATTTTTTCTTGTAAGCGTCAAGGCAGTTCTACTGTATGGAGCTGAAACTTGGAGAACTACAACAACCACCATCAAGAAGGTGCAAGTATTTATAAATAGCTGTCTAGGCAAGATACCCAACATCCATTGACCGGATACCATTAGCAACAGCCTTCTCTGTGAGAGAACAAATCAGCTTCCAGCTGAAGAAGAAATTAGGCAAAGACGATGGAAATGGATAGGACATACATTACGTAAATCATCAAACTGCATCACGAGACAAGCCCTAATTTGGAATCCTGAAGGGAAGCGGAAAAGAGGAAGGCCTAAGAACACATTACGTCGGGAGACAGAAGCAGATATGAAAAGGATGAATAACAACTGGAAGGAGCTAGAAAGGATTGCTTGGGACAGGGTTGGAGTGATAATGCTGGTGAGCGGCCTATGCTCCTTCACGATGAGTAACAGGCGTAAGTAATTAATTAAGTAAATAAGTTAATTCTCATTATATACATATATATACATTGTAGTATAAATACTATTAGAGAAGGCGAATAAGTTGGAAACTCCACCTGGCTAAATATATAGTACTGAGTGATATGATTATTATTAGTAGTTGTAATAGTTGGTTTCATTTATTTCAACCATCATCAACACAATCAACCGATATGAATTGCTTCATTATAAATATTTTTAATTTACTATGACAACTATTTATTTATTTAATTTTACTGTCATTGAATCATGAACTTAATAGTAGTGGTGGTAGTGAGATTGTTTGTTAAAGTAAAAACGATGAAAATGAGAGAGAGAGCGGGAGAGATTTTAACTGATGAATTAATCAACATTTCAGTGATATTAATATTTATGCCATTTGAAAAGGTTGAAAATTCAATTCTACTATGATGAACGTAATATGGTTTATTACCATGAATGATTTGGTGGAAAATAGTTTACAAGAGGGATTGTATGGAGATAGACAACTATTTAAAACAAAGAAGCCCTATGGAAGTTTCTCATTCTAGTGTGAGCCTTTATAAAAGATCAAACGTAAGACTTACAGGTCAAAGAACCTGAACGTTTTCTCACACTTAATCAAATGAAGAGAGAATTCATATTCGTCTGTTACTATTATCATTTTTGCTTTGTCAACAAATTCCAATGTTATTCTTAGGCAGATCGTGCTTTTAATAAGATATGATGATGAATCATTCAAGCTAGTAAATTGGCTTCTTTTATTTAGTATTCCATTTATAATCTTTCATAAACAATTTTGTTTCATAAAGTGGCGGAACTTTGTAGGGTTTTAAATGTTAAAAAAGGTCCTTACTGAAAATAATTAACTGGATCTTCGTCTGAGTATCCAATCACAATAGACAAATGGGTATTAATTTGGTACATAAAATACCAAGTAATCTCTTTTGAACCAATAGTAGACAATAACAACTCTTACATAGGGGAATAATATTCAACGTTTTACACCTTAAAAATGATGTCTATGTATGAAGTCAACAAAGCCTATTTGTACTTATTAGACAAAAAGGTCAGATAATGTTTTTTTAAGCCTTAAGTACTGAATTAAAAACTTATAGTTAAGTTAAAAACAAATAGTACACTCACTTCTAATTGGACTAGTTCAGACATTTTTTCTGCTTTTTCCTTTCGGCGCCAAATCATTAAATTCTGTAATTCTTGCTTTACATCCAATTCATTTCTAATTTGATTCGATTCTTGTAGCTTAATTAGCAACTGGTTAATCTGGTTAATATTTACATTGGACCATTTAAGCCATCGTTTTGCTTGTTTAATGTAATCAAATATTTTGTGACTTATGATTAAGCTGTGTTGAATCACTTTACTAACACGTTCCGATGATAATTTTGTATTATGTGAACTGGTTAAATAACGATACCAAGTCGCAACAACAGTCATTACACAACGTTCTTCTAGCCAACATGTTTGAGTAAAATCTTTTGATTCGATTAGTATTGGTATGCCTAAATGTAGATAGGCTCGTTGAAAGATAATTTCTAGCCGTACTTGTAAACTATCAATATGACGTATTCGTTCATAATCAATCAAATCTGGATAATGTCGATGTAGTAAAGCTGCAAATGCTAAACTGTCTCGCCAACTTTTTGTAAAATCAACAACCTCAACCTTAAAAATTGAGGAATCAATTGCTTTTTAATTATATTACAAATGCGTATACAAAAGACTGTAAACAATACTAAAAATAAGATAAATACACTCATAAACACCCTCTTCGAACAGTACAAGCCTAGAACCTTGAATATTTTTGATTTTAATAACAGCAGCCAAGACTCATGAATCGAACTACTCTACCAAGTGGTAGCTGACGAAGGTTTTAGGACATCTCGTAAAAGATACGGAGCATTAAATTAATTAAACTCTAAATAATTTTTGATACTGGACAGGATATGTTAACTCAGAAGTGGAATACTGTAAATAAGTAGTTACATCTTGTTTACAAAATTATAGTTAACGGCTGATTAAAGTTCAAAGAATTGTCACTACAGTAAGCCCTAAAGTATTTAAGTTCTTATATGAGCATCGACTAATTAAATTAAATCTATTCCTCTAACCGTACAGAGAAGTGAAAGTTACTTAACCATAATCTTCGAATCTATCATTAACGATATTATATTTTAGATGTCAGTTTTATTTTCTGTCATATTGGGAAGATTAGCTTGCTCCAGCACATAAAAAATATTCATGTGCACTAAACCATCAACAACGTCCAGCTGACTTTTCATAAACTCTTCAAAGAGTGGTACTCTTTGTTACAATAAGTAATAACTTCTTTAGCCATATTTTGAAAATGGTAGGATTAATTTGGAAATCATCATCATCAGAGCTAACACAGGTCTGTCAGTGTATCAATTAAAACTTGAAAACATTTCAGATTCATGTGCTCATATACGTTATCTTAAGTAGCTCACAAGTAGTTTTATAGAAATATTGTCCCACAATATGACTTGATGGAGCAGTATTATTAGTCAAGCTTATGATATTCGTGTGTGCGAAATTGAGTTCCTTTTGTAGGCTTTAAATCCAAGAGTAACTTTTATTCAGTCATGGACAATAAAAATAACGATACGGATATGATTCATTTCCTATTCTCATACTAAACAACACAATAAGAGAACAGAAATATATAAAAAAGTCGAATTAACGAGAACGAACATTGCGAAATAAGTTTATATAATGTAGTTCAGAAGGAATATCTTAGACTGACGTATTAAATTCCGGCTAAACGAACACCAACATGGGAAGAAAACAATTGCTGTTTCACTGAGTGGTAAAGGAAGATATCTTTAGTTTACTATATGGGATATCTGAATTCTACATGGATCTTTTTTTTTCAGCAAGGTGATAAATTCTAATAACTATTAGCCTTCAAAACCAATGACGTCATATATTGTTACAATTTATCTATGGCTTTTATGCCAGAACATTATTCTTCTCACTAAAAGGAACAACAAATAATTTTATAATGAGATGTGATACTGACTGATGTGATTATTTAAACATTAGTCGAGATACCTAGTGAATTTTTTCAGTCAGCTTGTTCTAATTTGAGTAACTCGTAGTGCAGTTCAAAGACAGAACACTGAAATTATCTTAGATTACAAAATAATTATTTTTCTATATGATTCAATATTTTGATAATTTTTGTTCTATCATAACATCATCCACTAAAACAAAATAAGGACTTGACAAACATAACATTGATCACCATCCAGTGATCAATCAATTGTGATTACATCTCAGTCCTACAGGAGGTTAGTCACGGCTCGGATAGCTCAGTGGTAACGTCTCCAACTGTGAAGCTGGGTGACACAAGATCGAATCCGCCAGGGAGCACCAGTTCCCTCAAGGTTACAGCTACACCTTGCTGACAAGTGCCAAGTAGCACGAAACCCGGGTCCAGGGTTTCCTGTCGACTACCTCCAACCACCATCTAAAATCTCAATACATAGTGCCCGCAGTGTCGAGTCACCTAGACTGGTGGCCACATTGCAACATGATCGATAGCATTCGATTTGCACTAAATAAGGACTTGAATCATATGACATTGATCACCACCTACTGACCAATCAATTATGGAAACTCATTTGTGAATGATTTGAATGGAAAAGAAATATTTAATTAAACTGAGTACTAGTTATTTGTGACACACATCATTTTTTTATTAGACGTTAGTTATAAAAATACTGATTATACTTATGAATTAACTGATGATTACAATAATAATCAATGTTTATTACTTGAGGATATCCAGCTGTTTTAAGCTGGCACCAAAGTAGCAAAGCATCTCTTGCATGTCTAACTTCACCAGTTTCATCTGATTCTTTTACAACGATATCCTGAACCTAAAACAGATTATAATAGATCATAGAATGAAAGTTATTCATAATAATTATAGATTACATGAGATAGATAGAAAGATGAAGAAGTAGATTATTGAATTTAGTGTACTACATAAACTTTCGCTTATAGTTTTTTTTCTCATTAATCTTATCACACTTATTTATAACAATAAGATGAATAAATTCACTTGGTATTTTTTACTTGAATTGTCCCATTGATGAATAGTACTGCAGTTGATCAGTTTGTTAGTGGCATATATGCATACTGTACGTATTGCTTTGATATTGCCTTAATTTCCAAGCATTCTAAGCAAACATGGATAGTGGCTAGTAGTGGAATCCAGAACGTGTGTTTCGTCCTATTTGGGACTTGTCAGATGGATGTCCCGAATAGGACAAAATGCGCGTCCTGGATTCCACTGCCAGCCACAATCCATCTTTGTTCATAAGATGAATTATTTTATATGTGAATATGTAAATGTACCAAATAAATACCAGCTGCAAATAATTATATCTCTTTCTTTTTATTTTTGAACCATTGTACTATTTCAAATAAGCTCAACATAAAAACTACAATAATAGTAGTCGTTTGACATCAGTCAGAAATATGACATTCGACAATTATTGTTCTTTTCTTGGTTATTATTCAACTTAACTTACAAAGACAACTATGCTATCATGAGGAATTTGCTGTTCAGATGTTACTATTAGAACTATAAATTATCTGTATATTTCAATCATCGAAATAAGATTTGAGATATTGCAACTTAGTGTAAAACCCCAATTGGTTACACCGTAATGCTGTTTAAATTCATATCTTTTCAGGTAATCTAAAAGCTTTGATGAAGAACACGCACTGCAATGTGAACAGTTGTCGTTCAATCACTGTGCATTTGCAGATATTCTAGATATACTAGATGTGTAGACTCCTTCTTTGTTCGCCAAAAACACAAAAGAAAATACTTATTCGTTTAACTGATTGAAAAAAAGATGTACTTTAATTTCAGAAAATAGTCAATGTAAAGAATTTTTCATCCTGTGATTCTGATTCACATCTACTGAGGTTGATTTACAGGAGTCAGTTTTAATTTTTCTGTTCCTCAAGTTGCACGTTTTCAAGTTAATGTAATAAGAGCCAAAAGATTTACATAAAACGGCATTGTAATTTTAGTAGTCCACTATCACATAACTCACCTGATCATTGAAGTGCCAAAATCTTTCAAGAAAATCAATGTCCAAGATGATGATGGATATATTTTGAATTTTATAGTAGATGAATATAGATAATATTTAATCGTATCAAGTGACTAAGTGATAACTACTCACGTGATTTAAAAACTAACAAAAGCCCAGGATAGGACATCCATAAGACAACAAATTGAGCTAGCAAAATCACTTTTTCGTGTTAGCAGTTATATGCTTTTACATGAATTTCAGAAGCGAAAATTTACTCACTTAAATGTCATAAACATTTGATAGATATCAGTTAATCGACCATTCACTTGGCAATGGAATAAGACCTGACCCCTCAGCTTTGTTCCTGCCCAACATATCAGGCAGATATATGAGTAAATTATACTCATAAAAAAGACACCTCATCAGATTTTCTGATAATTCTCCTCACTGACAACATGAAAATGATCTAAGATGATGGAATGCAACACACTACGTAAACAATTAATGCAATTCAACATTTCATTACGACATAAACATACAGTCTTTCAAAATTGACTTGCCTGATAATGTAATATAATTGTCCATATTAGACCTAATGTAATTCTTGGGTTACCATCGACAATATCTTGTGCACCGACATTTTCAAGATGTGCTCCTTCTTCATAAAGAAAATCAAGTGCCTTATTGATGTTCTCCAATTGATGAATTCTCATTCTGCTATGATTAATTCTTGTCTGTAATAGAAAGTCAATTACTGTAAAATTATCAGTCCGTAGTTCATAAATCGGTAGTAAATGTTTGCAACAGTTTTGTTTCTCAGGTACGGGATACACGATTTTCAACTGCATTAACCGTTGAAGATTAGATTATCGTTATCTCTACAGTTAAAATCACAGTATATCACAATAGATGACACAATAAGTCAAAAAGGTATTCCTCATCATATATTAGCTGACTAGAAGAAATAGTGACACATTTTCGACTTCAGTAACTGGTTAGCGTTCAGGGAAGCATTTAACAAACCCATGATAAAAATCAAATGAAACTATAATTATTTAATTGTGGTTGGTTAGATATTTGAGAAAAAGCGTTAAGGCATTTGCACTTTATGAGGACAGGAACATACATCTCACACACCACTATGGATTCAACTTCACTGAAAATACAAAGTTTCCATAACGATGATGCTAAGCTCCTCTTCAAGGAACTATAACTGAACAATTCTAATTTTAGTCAATCTTTATCTGTAGACTATAAGCCTAATCAAATTGCTGATAACGTAGTAGTTTTAAACGTCTTTATTAAGTAAAAGTCAACCAAAAGTTATGTAAAAGCTAACCACTGCTTCGTCCCGCTCCATGGGCTCTTCAGAAACGTACAGTTGTATGAGATTACTTAGAACAGCATCTAAAATTAGCATCAGAAAGGGTTTTGTGGAGATTGTAGTAATAAGATAATCAGTTTAACATAAATAATTATTAGATACTAGTAGTACAACATTATTTACTACATACTTTACTAAATACAATCCATTGTAAATAGTAATTTAAAGATATTCAGCATTTAACGAAAATATAGCCAGATAAAGCAATTATCATTTCTGTTACTTTACCTTGTATTTATTTACATGGATAAACTATTTAGAAATTTGAATAATATCGATATATTTTGGTAATTAGAGAAAGTGAACGATTCTTAGTTCAAAAGTAGCTCACTTTCACGAAAATCTTTATTATGAATTACGTCTATAAAACTAAACATACCAAAAATACTAACCCCTTTAAACTGTGTTTTTATTAGGTTTGTAAACATTTGTGAACATACTTGGTTAATACATTTTGTTGCGTGCTTAGTAATTCGGTGATAAGTTTATATTGGAAAGGTGTTTTTGAGAAGTATTTTCAAGAGAAAAGTTCACCGATGATCTTTATGTCCTGTATGCCTAGATAGAATAGCAGACTCTATTTCAGATAATATATGTAGTCTATACAATAAACAGGTGAACTGACATTATTAAAACAAAGTAAAAGATGAGATTAATCATTTTCTTTTCTTTTTCAACTACTTTTTTATTTGCAGCAGCACACATATATCCTACTCCTTTTACGTCATATTTTCCTGAAATTAGACACTTCAACTGGATAGTCAGCACAGGTCTCACTAATATTGCGTGGTCAGAAGAGTTCCTTAAATTCAGGTGAACAAAAATAAAATGGACAGTCAGTCGATTATCTGACAGCATACGAAACTTCATGTGCTTGATATTTTCATTAACTCATTAGTTTTTACTGGTCATCATGACCTTACATCTTCCAATTCTTCATGTAATAAACAAAACTGACGATCCATTCAAGGAAAACTATTTGCTTAACATTTCATGAATTTCTGTTTCATTTCTGTTTCATGAGATTTTGTAGCGCACTTCTTGTATTTATTGTTAAGATCAATGAACATTATTTCAAATATCAAAACTATGAAACATAATACAATCGATCTGAACATTCCTTATGTCAAAAAATCATTAACTCCGCCTGGAGTACCTCCAGGAGCTACTGCCAGTCCCAAGCCCGGATAAAGGAGGAGGATTGGGCATGAGGTTAGCGACCCCATCCCGTAGAAAACTAACTCGCTAGAAAAAAACGCTAACCAGAAAAAATTATTCAAACCAAATAATCATTGATTCTCAGTTAGAAGAAATAATCTACAGAAATATTCTAGAATTTTGAACTTCATTTCAAAATATTGGTCATTCACATAATCGAACTTCCTTAGTTTAGCTTAGAAACAATGTTTCGTATTTTAGAACTTTTTGAACATGGTGAAGAAGATTTGTAGCTCAGCTGAGTGATTTTGATGAAGTTTTGTTCTTTGAGTTGGATGGTTTGATTGTAGAAATTTCATCATTCTACTGAAGACGTTATCAGTACAAACTTCAGGTAGATTAAAATCAATAATGATTAAGCTATTTTGCATCGGTAAAATACATAGCAACAAATTCTTATATAAATTGTAACTATACTTAAAGTCATTTGATAAATTGTATCAATCAGTTTATGGAAAACAACAAATACGAATAAAACCAATCAGTTTAATGTATAATTCACAAATCTACTTAACATAAATGGTTTTGACAGATTTGATGACTTTTATTTTTTTTATATTAAGTTTTCTATCCCGTTTTATTTTTGATTTGACAAGTTCATAAGCCATTCATTTCACTGTTTACTGGGATACTTTTTTTCATAATGTGGTGGTCGGTATTCCATATAATCCTTAAACTTCGTATACAGTTCGTCTGGATAACCGTCCTATATAACGCTCCAATGGTATATTAATCAGAAGGCGAATACAAATCGTTGATTACTTTTATTACGGGACCACACACATAGATATCCAAAATTACAGATGCGTTAAACAAGAATAGAAGAGTTGTGTCGAAAAGCAAGTGAGCGAATATGAATACGATCAAGCGCGTACAATTAAGCGAGCAAGAGCAATGAATATGAATAATATGGACACTATATATACATAGTGAAATGAATGATTCATCGAATCAAATAAATGGTTAGTAGTAAGACTAGCATAGTGCATAAATGCGAGGGCCGTCAGCAATATTCAAGCATACATGTTCATACATTCGCAATAGTAATAAAGATACAATGATATAGATAAGTTGTTGTTAGGATGATTCAGTTCGTTAATAAGTTAATAAAATGACTTGATTGAATTAATTGTGAACAAACTCAATTTCACGTGATCTGTTATAATACTTCAGGTATATTTATGGATCCGTATACATAGAGTTCGCAATCTCACCTCTTCATATACTCAGAAAACGTGTATTCAGCTAACACTTAGAAATATGTCAACAGATATTGTATACATTCTCTGTCTTCCCTTAAACTAAGAGATTAAAATTGCCTCATATCTTTCTTTCTACGAATTAATTCTTTCTTCCTGTATTATATCCTTATATATTACCACCTCTGAATTAACTACTTTCATGAATCCGATGCTCACCTTGTTGTGTTAATGAGGTATGGTAACTTGGATCGATGCATATATGTGCCTGGTCCTACGTTGTAGCTGACTGACTGACTGGTATTGTATAAGATTGATGAAGTATACTTTCTATTCAATGATCAAAACTTTTATTTATACAATTAAATAATTTACTTTCAAATAAGTAGTTTAGTAGTAGTTTAGTATTTCTTATAACACTATTCCAGCATATCATTTGGACTAATTCGTTTCTTTCCCTTAGACTAATAAATCTCTAGATATTATCATTTTAAGTTATACCTCATTTTCACTGCCAATCTAATTAGATTAATTAACAATGGAATAAGCTCAACAAATTGTTTTAATAAGTATAATTTAATAATAAAGTACAAGGAGGTTAACATGTTGTATAAGTGAATGTATCTATTCCGATAAAACATGAATTCAGCCTACTTATACTATAATCTCTAACTACCTTAGAGTTTAGCTGATTGAAAGGTTGATAAGAAGCAATATGAAATGAATAAATGTTTATTATTACTTTCATTTTAATAATAATCAAGATGAAATCTAACTGCATACAAATATCTTAAATATTTTAATATTTACGTTATACTGCTCAGTAGAAACTGACTTCAGGAGATACTCCTGGAGTTCTAGTGAGAAGCCGTTACCAGTGGAGTTCAACTAGGTCTGTTGTGAGATATCAGTTCACTGAAGGCAATGGTGTACGGCAGCTCAACTTCGTGTATTGGTTGAAGTCAGACATTAACACCGATGGATGCCGGCTGGCTCAGTGATTTAGATGGTCGAGCGCCTGGTGCGAGACTGATAGGTCCTGGGTTCGAATGTTTCGGGACGCGGGATCGTGGATGCGCACTGCTGAGGAGTCCCATTCTAGAACGAAACGGCCATCCAGTGCTTCCATGTTTTCCATAGTGGTCTAGGTTAAATTGACTCATGATTTACACCTGTGAAATTACTAAAAATCTCCACAAAACCCATTCTGATAATTAAAATTATGTCTATATACATGTACTGACCTTCAAAAACAGTAAATGGTATGCGACGGTTATATTTTCATTTCATGTCCAAAACCCTATGCACATTTAACTATTTGCTTAACTTTTAAGATCTACTGTAATAAGTTATACAAGTAAAAATTCAGTGTGTAGATCTTTTTGTGTTTCTTAAGATTTTTCAGAGAATCAAAGATTATTATTAGTATTTTTTTATTGAGATCATGAATCAATTGATGTTAGACCGCTATGGAAAACCTGGAAGCACTGGACAGTCGTGTCGTCCTAGTTTGGGACTTCTCAGCAGTGCGCATCCACGATCCCGCCTCTTGTAGGATTCTATTCTGTTTTGTTTAATTGTCTTAAAATCACAAGGTATAACACTTTAAACTATGTACTTTACCATTAACCTGACCATTTTTCCGATTATTCACTTAGTTATATAATTGTAGAACCTGTAGAGAATTTATTGAAAAGAATATTCAGTCTTCAGTCTTCAGTAATAAGGATAGTGGGTTAGTGAACATGTGTTAATCCTGACAGATTGAATTCCAGTGAAGGTCCAGTTTCTCCTTGAAAATATTCACTGATGGGGCTGATACCACTTGTTCGGGTAAGGCGTTCCAATCATTGACTACTCGATGCGAAAATTGGGACCCCACTTTAAATTTATTAGATCGCGGTTCATGAACCTTCTTGCTATGACCTCGGAGGGAGCAAAAAGATAAGATATATTAACACCCAAATCATAATTAAAGATACGAAATGCCAGTATAAGGTCACCTCGCGTCTTACAATACGACAAGGGGAAAAGATTTAGGCGTTTTAAACGCTCATCGTAAGGAAGTTTAGTTAGACCCTTCACTAATTTCGTTCCCACACGCTGGACACGCTCAAGTGAGTTAGTATCCTTTACTAGACATGGGCTAGCTGCTTGGATACAGTACTCTAAATGTGGTCTTATGTAGGTGGGATATAAAATTCCAAACATTTCCTCGTCAAAAGATTTGAACGCACGGCGAAGTCTTTAAAAAAACTTAATTAGTCCACTTAGTAATTAGGCATCGAGACAATCACTGATTCGTATTATATAATAAATCTGTATTTTCTATTGAATGAAATTTAATCTACTTTCTTTTTTAGCGATTGTTTAAATAAACAATAGTCAAGTGTTATTTATGAATTTAAACAATAAAAACAAAACAAAAACAAATGTAATTTTACTTCAATAAACATTCAACAGTTATAATAATAATAATAATTTTAACTGGTTGAAATCATGAGTCAATTGAAGCTGGAAAACATGGAAGCACTGGACGGCTGTTTCGTACTAGCAGTGCTCACCCACTATTCCGCACCCCGCGAGATTCGGACCCAGGACCTATCAGTCTCGCATCAGGCGCTTAACCAACTAGACCACTGAGCTGGCCTGCATCCAATGGTGCTAGTGTCTAACATCAATTGATCCATGATCTCAATAAAAAAAACTTAATAATCTCCACAACCCCTATACTGACTATTATTAGTAAATTCACTTTCAAATTTCTTAATAACAAAACATTTACCCTTTAAATGACTAATAATTCAATATCGGAGAAGTTTGAACACTTTTAGGGGAACACCATAATTTATTATTATTATTTTGCCAAACTGAAACTTTGTTTTTAAATATGCATAACAAATCACATCCTACTATTGAAATAACTAAATTTTGATTGAATTTCACATACATCATCAGCTAATTAGTAATGGTTCATTTTAACTTCACATATGCTCAAACGAAATAATCATTTCTATTCCCTGCCATTGTCATTAACTATAGATAATTTTGTCATAAATTAGTGAGAATTTTGTAGGTTTCGTTCACATATTTTAAATCCCAAAATGAATAGTTTCTTGGGTTTTTCTTCATTTTAATGTATGCTGATCTGTTTTCAAGTGTTACCAATTCTTACCTCTTAAAACTACCAATCACTTATATATATATATATATATATATATATATATATATATATATATATATATATATATATATATATATATATATATATATATATATATATATATATTCGACTTTTTTGTTTCAAAAGGGACAATGTAATGGTGGTTCATATGACTATATAGCTCACTTTTTTTTTCACACAGCTATACATAATAATTTGAGGATCTGACTGTAATCCTAAAGTATAGTAACTGTCAAAAGTTTTAAAACAATAAAAGTCAACTTAATTATCTCCTTATATATAGGCTCAACTTGCTCATTTAAAATAGATTACAATGATTACAGTTTATCTATCAATTGTGTCTTGAATCTTTTAACATGAAGTATTTTCGAAAATATGACTCCTTGAATAGATTGATTTCCTACGAACCGAATAATAAATTAGAGCAACACATAAAAACGAACAATATTGTTTTCAATTAGATCGTCATCAGGCTTTTCTCTAATATATATGAATATTTATACGAAAACGTTGAAAGCAATCAAGGCAACATGAGTCAATAATCACAATGAAATAGAATAAGTCACCACACATAGTAAGTAAAAATACAAGTTGATAGCAGGAAGACCGGTGAACTGATAATAGTGAGAATAATAAAATACAATAACAAAACTCTTATCAATAATTAAACGTTGGAAATAGAAGGTCAAATAAACATGGGTAAATAGACTTGGAATAGTCATCACAAAACATTAAAATCATTACGTAATAAGAAGTGTGTAAATAATTAGATAGTAAAGAATACAAACGGAAAAAGGCGAAAGGTTACAAACAAATCCCAAATGTGAAAATAAGGCTAATGATAATAAAAACAGAATAAAGTAACTAGATAATAATAATAATAAAAGAGAGGAAAAAAAAGAGAAAAAATCGTTAATTAAGTTGTAACTGGCCATGGGAGGGATAGGGGGTTACGAATTTATTCTGTATACATACATTGGGGTTATATGTACCAATTCCTATGGCTTCAACTATATGTAGGAGGCGAGAACAAACTCCATTAAGAAATAATGGAGGTATACGATAGATCACTCGAAACGATTTCGATTTATCTACAGCATGACCGCTATCAATGAGATGTGCCAAAATACAACTGAGAATTGTTTTTATCTGACCCTTTATAAACCACGCTGGTAGATGTTCACTCATTCGTTGATTAAGTTGCCTGGTAGTATGCTCAATATAGCTATCTTCACAGGAGCAGCTAAATTTGTAGATGCACATTGAAGAGGCCAACTCAGGTAACTTATCCTTCGTTTGAGTAGACATCGCTGGTCGACAAGAGAAAGTCAATGCAAAATTGGCTGCGTAGAATGTCCTGATGATTAATTTCGTTAACCTATATTTCAGGGTATCACTGGCCACATCTCCGTTGAATTATAGTTTCATATATAAAGGTTTCTTACGAACAGTCGAAATCTCTGAATTCTTTATTATGTAATACATGTACTTCTTAATGAAAGCACTGGAGTAGCCGATCTCGGTCAGTGAGTTGTTGATGAATTCAAGCTCCTGACTTAGACTGTCTACTGTGCAGATCTTTTTAGTACATTTGAACCACAATTTCAATAAAGCTAATTCCATTAATTTAAAACGATTCTTATGACCACTTAGTTTATTCTTAATTCCTTGATGATACATCAAATAATGTTTAATTTTTATTATATAAAACCTATAAGTCAATCTATCCAATATCATAATATTTCAGAAATGTAATAATTATCTTCAAATCAATACATTTTTTGTTCGATTATATTACACACAAAATAATCAATAATTGTTATCTATCCATCGTTATTTCAATGATCAGTGATCTGGATTCTCATCATCATCAACATCATCATCCAAATCATCATCATCATCATCATCATCATCATCATCATCATCATCATCATCATCATCATCAAAATGATCCTTTAAACGATGTATCATGGCAAACAAAAAAATGTATCAATAATTTTTATTGGAACTTACAAATTGCCTTCCTGATAATAATTCTAATAAACGAAGTAAAATTCTTCCATCACGTAAATCATGATATAGTTCTTTCACTAAATAAGTATGTCCAATAGCATATGATCTATGTGTAGATGGTGATGATTCCCATGATGGTGAATGTGGTAATCTATTCATTGAACTATTATGATATGCCCAACTGTTATGTAGATCATTTGGATAAGATAGATAAGTGAGAAATTCCGATGAAAACACTCCATCTAATTGAGCATTAATCCAATTGGTAAACAAACATTTTTGTATATGATCACGTTCATCTGTGTAGTGAAAAAAATTTTTTTTATAATTATATTTGTACAACTTAACGGAATGGACAAATCAAGTTAAATACCAAAGAATAATTGTTTAGATAATTGAAATAATCCATAGTGTTATTGAATAAGATAAACAGAATTCAGCTGAATTCTCTTTTTCTTATTCAATTGTTTAAATGCTTGAGCATCTGAGCTACCTGTTCCTGCCATCGAGATATTTCAGCAAGTTATCTATTTTTGTTTGTTTTAATATATCATTATGTTAATTAATCTCATAACCTATTCTGCTGCGTTTCTGAAAAGTGTACAACCTTTCCTTGTCAAAGTTACAAAAAACTCAATAAGAGATAATGTGGTTGCTGGCAATATACAACGAAAAGAATGCACATTATTCAGATGTTCATTTACTGAACTGCTAACATCTAACTGGCAATCACTCAATATTTATCGCCAGGATCGACCAAGAAGTAAGAAACGGAAACTTGTTCAAATACTTTGTGCTGAGAATTCTATATTGCACCAATAATATATGATATTAAATAAAGCTTATAATTATAATAATAGTTCTTGTTGCTGAAAAAAATCACATTACCTTTGCACACATAGTTTAAAGTATTGCTTACGATACATGTATGCTTAGTATGAAATCTAGACAAAACGCATGTTTTAATATTTATCCCTACTGACTTTGATATGTAGTCGAAAAAATAACATGTAAACAAAAATATGTTGACTTTAAATTCATTTTTTGTAACAAGATTCATAACTGGATTTCGCATTCTTCTCAGCACTAAAAAGTTGATATACAACTAAGATCATATAATATTGGAATTGTTTGAAAACCTAGAAAATGACTGAATTGATTTTCATATTACAATCTCAAGAACACGTTCCATCATGGTCAAGAAATGGAGCCGCCAAACTTAACAAATAAAGACACCTTTCCTCATCTCAAAGATAAAACATCACTGTGTAAAAAAGGTGTTAAAGCCATACAAAACCTGTACTACTACTACAGGAAATCATGAGATTCTCACAATACAATTTAAAAACAAAGGTGATTCTAGGAGCCAATTTTACTCTTCGGATACCAATATGACCCAGTGATCAAAACGTATTTATTTATATGATTTTACTGACATCTGCTGATGATTAGTCAAAGAAAAAAAATTTACTACGATTAAAAAAAAATAAACCTTAAATTGAGAAGTTGTTCACCTGATATATTTTACGATCAATAATTATCTGAACTCAGTAGCAAAGTAGATAGCAAGTTAGTATGAAGCACAACACACTGGGTTCAAATCTCTGAGGGAAAATCAACACTGAGATACAGGCATATCTAGCTGATGAGTCTCAAAAAAGACAAAACGGGCATTATAGATTCTAATATTAAGCACTATCCATTTCTGCTTTTAAAAAATGCTTATCACTGATAGCAATACTGAAACAATCCGTTATAGATGGTTATATACCGAAAAGGACTGACCGATCGCAGTCTGTATAACTAAATAATTACTACTATTATTGTTATTATATCATCATAGTAAATTAAGGTACAATAATCTATACCATAAGCATTTCATATTCAATTGTTTTTCTAATCTAAACAATTAAAAAATTTCACAAGTTGAAATCATGAGTCAATTGAAGCTAGACCACCATGGGAAACCTCGAAGCACTGAACGGCCGTTTCATCCTAGTATGGGACTCCTCAGCAGTGCATAACGTCCATCAAACAGTGTTTCTAGGTTTTCCATGATGGTCTAGCTTCAATTGATTCATGATTTCAATCTGTGAAATTTCTACAAATCTCCATAAATCCCTTCTGATAATAATATTTTCAACGTTTTTATTAAAACAATATTTATATATTTTTTTAAATAGAATCACTAGATTGTAAAAACAACAACAACAATGTGCTTTATGTTTCCTCATGAACAATGAACTCAAAAAACCTGTTATTTTTAGACAATAAGTAAGTAACACGTGAATTTCACTCATATAAATAATAAACATCATAAATGCATTTTGAAAAAAAGAAAAAAAAAGAAAAAAAGAAGAAAAAAACAAAGTCTACAACACACACACACACAAATGACAAGGATTCAAGCTTAATTTAACAAAAAAGAAAGAAAAAGAAAGAAAAAAAAATATTGGCAAATCGAATTAAATTGAAACGATGAAAATTAATTATTTGCTGAATACAAAAAGAAAATTTATTATTTTTTATTTAAAATAAAAGAAAATTTCAACAAAAAAGATTCCCTATTTGGCTTAAATAATTTTTTTTTGTTTTTTTTTTGTTTTGTTTGCTAAACAGATTCATTGTTACGTTATTAGTAATTGTATTAACATTTTTCATAAAGAGAAAGAGAGAGAGAGAGATGAATATTTTCTCTTTAAACAAGTTAATTTAGATTCATCTAATTCATTTACAATTGATGGATGAATCACTAGGTGGTGATCTATGTAAGGTCTTTTTTTAGTTCACATCGAATCCTATTGATCAAGTTACAATGTGACTGCCAGTCTAGGTGACAGGATTGAATCTGTCAGGAAGCATCAACACCTTCAAGATTACAGGTACATCTTGTTAACGAGTACCAGGTAAGACAGAATCTAAGTTCAGGGTTTCTTATTGATTACCTCCAACTACTATCTAATCTAATTCATTCAGCATATTGAGAAGTAAAAAAATGATAATAGATAAATAAATAAACAGGATGAAAACTATTTTTTCGACAACTGATTTTGTATTTATAAGCAACTCATCATTGATTGTCATAAATAAGTTATTATGTTCAATTCAACGGTCTTATCGCTTATGTCAGCTAACTTGAAAACGATATATTTACACTTTCAAATGAATACTTCAATTAGGATATTTTCAGACAATCAATCGAATGTACAGTTAATTTTCCTTACATATTGCATCTGTTAAGAAACCAATGTAGATAGTAGTACAATAGTAGACAATTGTTTCACACTAGATCTACTTACAACTTTATTAGGTAATATATCTAAGCGTATTTGTTATCCATCAATGCAAGAAATCTCCCAGTAGGTAAAAAAAAAAACAATTTAATGTTACGATGTTTAAAAAAAATCATGTTTCATCCTCTATAAGTATAGAGTTTAATTTCCCAAAGTATCTGCATAATTCTTTTTCAATTATGAACTGATATACCTCGTATTTATTGAATGAGACTGTCTAATTGTAAAGCACGTAATGTTATTTCAGATAAACTTGATCGGATCAAAGAAAAATGACCTATTTCATAATTGAGCATTTGAATAACTGAAATAATTCATTGTGAATAGTTAATCAAATACTTAGATATGTTCATTACAAAACTTTAGTTAATCTTTATACTTGTATACGAAGTAACTTTCTACAGTTTAATAAAAGTTCCTCGTCTACCATTAAACAAAAACTTTCTATTTGGAAAATAATCTGTAAAAGATCAATTTTCAAAAGATTTCTAGAACTATTTGTATTCCTCCTTATAATAATGAAATTATCAAAGAATTCTATATGTCAGTTCGTTATTATTATTATTATTGAGGAAGGAGGGAGAGAAAAAACCAGCTTCCAGCTTAATTGGAAATTAAGAAAAGACGGTGGAAATGAATAGGACATACACTACGCAAATCGTCAAACTGCATCACGAGACAAGCCCTAATTTGGAATCCTGAAGGGAAGCGAAAAAGAGGAAGGTCAAAGAACACATTACGTCGGGAAATAGAAGCAGATATGAAAAGGATGAATAACAACTGGAAGGAGCTAGAAAGGATTGCTTGGGACAGGGTTGGATGGAGAATGCTAATGAGTGGTCTACGCTTCTTCACGAGGAGTAACAGGCGTAAGTAAGTAAGTATTATTATTATCGTTACTGTTATTAAATAAATAATTCCATTGACTTTTTTAAATATATAGTTAATATATATATATATATATATATATATATATATATATATATATATATATATATATATATATATATATATATATATATATATTAGTTAACAGAGATGAAATTAAATACCAACCTAAGCATTGGGATGAGAGTGCTTTGTCAATGTAGCGAACATATAGTTATGTTCGTCGAACCCTTTTGAAAATTGTTGACGAAATCAACTATAAATACGAAATAATTAATTAGAATAATGTCAACTACGGTTTATCTACTGATGACCTATTTTAATTAAATACCAATCTAAGTAAGCCACAATGCTATCAATTAATATATTCCAAAGAAAGGGTTTGTGGATATTATAATAATTTAGTCATTGAATTCATGGGTAAGTTGAATCTAAACCACCATGAAAAAACCTGGAAGCTCTGGAGGGCCATTTCATCCTAGTATGGGACTCCTCAGCAGTGGTTGAAGTTGGACATTAACACCGTAGGATGCCGGCTCAGTGGTTTAGAGATTAAGTGTACCCACGCGATACCGAAAGTCCTGATCTCGAATCCCGCGAGGTGGACACGCACTTCTTAGGAGTCTCATACTAGAACGAAACAGTCGTCCAGTGCTTCCAAGTTTTCTATGGTGGTCTAGCTTCAACTAACCCATGAATCTAACTACTAAATTAATACTCTTTTTTAATGCTTATATGAACCCATATATATTTGTGCAATAGACAGAAATGTAATTACTATTTCCAAAAATGTTTACAATTTACTGTTTACAAAGAGTTTAATTTTACTATTTTTTGATATTTGTGCCATGTAGCACGAAACCCGGCTCCAGTGTTTCCTGTCGACTACCTCCAACCACCATCTAATCTCAATATATAATGCCCGCAGTATCGAGTCACCTAGACTGGTGGCCACATTGCATCATGGTCGATAGCATTCGATCTGCACTAATAAGGACTAGACACGCATGACATTGATCACCACCCAGTGATAAATCATTTGTGATCCGGGTCCAGGGTTTCCTGTCGACTACCTCCAAACACCATTTAGACAGAAATGTGATTACTATTTTCGAAAA